AAATTATTAAGCTTGTTCACAATAAAAAAAAGAAAAAGTAAGCTTTTATTTAATTCAGGAATGAGAAAAAATTTAGATGGGCCTAGTTTTATATTACTTTCTGAAATTCGTTTATAATAATGAAAAAATAATGAATGAGTGAAATAAGTGGTTCATGGTTCATTACGAGTGAGGAGGTGTTTTGATTTCTATGATTTATTTATGTTGGGATTCACCTTTTCTCTATAACACATGTTGACTTCCTTCTATAGTTTAATATCCCAATTTTTATTAGTTTTTTTTTTGTGAAGGAAATATGCTGTGAATGAAGTTTTTCAATTTCATGCTCTAATGTCCCTTAATAAGTTTTCTAATTTACAGTTGTGTTTTTTCGTTGAATTATTCTCTTAGTGCGAAGTTTTTTCTTTCCTTCTAACTCTTTTTCAGAGCATTTTATCCTGAGATAATTTTTCAATCCATTTTTGTCAATAAAAATCATGTTTATTTCAATGTTACGCTCAGGTGAATAATACCATTTCGACTTGTAACAACTCTCAAAGATTTCAAGCGTGGACCAAACAACCTCAAGAATAAGGTATACTCACGTCACAGAGATGCTTGCAATCATTTTATCAATTGGCACTATATTTCCAGATACGATCCCGAGGAATAAAACAACAATTAAATGAGTTAAAAATTTAAAAATCAGAATCTCTAGCATTTCTTACTTATATAATTGAAGAATCATAATTGAAGAATAATTGAAGAATCATAATTGAAGAATAATTGAAGAATCATAATTGAAGAATAATTGAAGAATCATAACTGGGTATTTAAACTTCAAGAAGAAGAAGAAGTCCTCCCATACCCACACATGTGACCTATGACGTCAGCGCCAGCTAATCCTTATCAACAAAATGGCGTATTAAAGTTGAGGTAAGTTTCTCTACATAAGTTAGAATGTTAATTAATGATAAGTTAATTAATTACATAGTCGTATAGCGCTTCGAATTAGTTGAAATATAATTCTTTTTTGTCTTCTTCTTTTACTTAACTTAGATTTATTATTTATGTATTTTATTGTAACCGTAATATATTTTTGTTTCGTGTACTTAATAACTTCGATGTATAATTAGTTTGTTTATGTTATACATGGCTTCGTGCCTGTCTTGGTGTTAAGTATTTGTGTAAATATATTGTGAAAGAAAAGAATATAATAAGTGTCACTTAAGTTAATTGGTACTTGTGGGGCTGGGCTTACTCGAAATCGAATGGAAGGAACAGCTGCTAACGTAAACAAAGCCACGTTTCAACAACCAATCAGGATCGAGATACTCACACCACGTCACTTGCAGGTATCCTGTTGAAGAATCTCATTCACAAATCGTGGGAACAAAAATATAACTTAGTTAGAGATGATTTTGTTGGTACTTGACTTACTCGAAATAGAATGGAAAGAACAGTTGCTAACGTGAACAAAGTCACGTTTCAGCATTCAATCAGGATCGAGATACCCACACCACGTCACTGCTGGTATCCGATTGAAGAATCTTATTCACAGATCGTAGGGAAAAAAATATAACTTAATTAGAGATGATTTTGTTGAGTTTTGAGAGTACTTTTCTAACTATGAATAGTAATAGCTCATTGGGGTGACAACTGAACCAGCATGTTTGTTTATTTGATATTCTGGAAGGTCAGGTTATTGCCTTTCAGTCCACATCTTCATAATGACCATGTTGTTGATACTCCTTTTTTTCAAGATGACAGCAACAAAGCTCACCGAGCTGGGAGAATATGTGACTGGTTTGTAACTCATTAACTGACCTGCTCTCACTCAATAACTGGCCTGCAAAATCACCTAACTTGAAACCCATAGGAAATCTGTGGAAGATATTAGAATAACGTAGGACACGCCGAAATCTGCACGAACAAAGAGAGGGACGTTACCCCCTAAACGACGATCGAGCTTTAAGTAAACTCATGAAAAAGATTAAAAAAATTCAATTAATTAACTGAATTATTATTTTTTAACAATTTCATAAAGAAATAATAAATTTTAATTTTGAGCGTTATATACAAAACGCTTTCCTTGTCATTTTAATCATAAAATTCAAATAATTAATTCATTGAATTCAAATAATAAAATATTTATTTGCCATAAACTGTCCAAAATCAAACTTCTAACCTTCCGATAGCTTATAAATTCTAATCTAATCTAATTATCTAATAAGTTCTTAAGTTCCGACGAACTAGAGTAAAACCAATTATTATTATTACATTGACAAACGCTTTGTAAAGGTATACAAACAGAAAAAAAAAAAAAAAATCTCCAAATATTATTTTTTAAATTATTAGATTGTACTGTATGTTGTCCGATATATTCAACGTTGGTAATGTCACAATATCAAGAATATACTTATTAATTAATTTAATGGTTAATTAATTCATTTTTATTTAGTAAATGAAAGCTTTAAAACTTTTTTCCCTGGCTTTCAAATAATTTTAATAAATTTTTAGGCCATTGTTTTGTTTTATGCCTCTTAGTTTCGCGAATTTTTCAACTTTTCATATAGAGTGCTAACTTTGGAAATTCTACAAGTTACTGCGTTTGAAAAAGTACTTATTCTTCTTTTCTTCCAAATGAAGTTGAATTTACTTTATCATGGTTCTCTTGTACAAGAATTAAAATGCTCAAATGTAAAATAATTTTTTTTTTTTTTTTATTGATTGATTTTAAAACAAGCAATGTAACACTTTTTGAGTGGAACAAAAAAGAAAAAGTAAAATGAGTTAAAGCATCCAACTGTAAAGTATTTTTACAAATATTTTTAAAAACATCAAGAGTGACTAAAAACATCCAAGTCGTTTCTAAAACTAACCAATTAAATTTTAATGAAAAAAAAATTCTTCATTTAATTAAATTTTAAGTATTTATTTTTTAATGTAGTTGCATATTTATTAATAGTGGTACAATTTAATAGGAGCAATTTAGTGGTAATAGTGTTAGAGGTACATAAACTTTGTTTTAAGTAATAAAAATGTAGCGAAGTTGGAATTAATAAGTATAGTTTTAAGAAAAGTTGAGTGATAATTGTTAAACATTTTTTTCTTTTGTCACGTTTTATATTTAAATAATAAGTGCAATATCGGTAGCAAATGTATCACACAAATTAAAGTGCATATTATAAACAATAAAATAAAATGATATTAATGGAAAGTATTATGTTGATCTAAGTAGAGTTTAAAAAGAACTATTTTTATAGAATTTAAGATTACTATTATTATTAGATAAAGATAAATAAAACCTCCTTATAGAACTTGGAGGTATTTTTAATAATAACAGACTATTTCAATCGTCTCAGTTATCTCTGGCAATCAAACAGATTTTAATGCTTTTAGTCTCGCCTTCTCTTTTAGTGCTTTCAGGGAATTGTTTGTTTATTCTTCGCTTTGTTGATTTCGGACACTAATTCGTATAGGTTTTGACTCTATTTTTGATAAAGATTCAATGCATGCATATTATGGTCGGTAAATACGGCACTATTTGTGTAATTATCTGCATTTGATGGGGGAGGGGAATGTTTCAATTTGTCAAAGGAAAATATCCTAGAAATTTGAAGAGAACACTAGTGAGAAATGGAAGTATTTTATTTCGAGGGAGTACCGAAGCTATATTTTAAGTGGTTCAAACATAAATCTCGACGGCTACAGCTACAGGTGTTTCTAAATTTGTATTCGTCGATATAGTACAGCTAGACAATATTAATATAGTTTTTTGACAGAGAAAATGCTTCGATTAAATAATCATTATTTTATAATAATCATAGTATGTATTAGAAGCACATTAATTTGCTATAGTTTTTTTACATAAAAATTTATCTGATTTTAAAACTTCTAAAAATAAACGAAAGAAAAGAAATTCGATTAATATTTTGAGTAAAAATATTGAAAAATAGTGGTTTTTGGTAGTTATTTTTGTACAATGGAAGCTAAATTTTCTATTTTTCTTTTATTCGAAACATAATAAAAAAATCTTTTTATTAAGGGGTTTGTGCCCCCCCCCCTCCTGCCATCAATATTTATTTGGGAAAATTATATGTATTGTTTGTACTTAATTGTACTTAAAAGCTCTGGAGAAAAGCTCGATCGCGTTACTTTATTATTTCGATTTAAGAAAAAAAAAAAGGGCATGCGAGTTTAGCCAACCGGGGGGGGGGCAGCTCTCTCTCTATATAGTATATCTATCGATCTAAATTTTATTATACATAATATTAGAGAATGTACAATATTTAGAGTTAAAGAAAAAAATCTCTTAATCAATCTTGTGTTACAGTTCTTAGTAAAATAACAAAGCTTATAAAATTTATAAATTTGCACACACCAATCGGATTAACTTTTACAAATGGTGTTATTTATTTTTATCTAAAACTCTTGGCTAGGATTTCTAGAGATAACCAGTGCATTAATTTATTTCGAGCCTGTTCATTCACACAATCCAGATAACTATGTTTACTATAGGTTATTGAAATGAATGAACAGGCTCGAAGGTGCACTTGTTAGATGAGTGATGCCTTTCTTTAATTATAAAGATGGAAACTATAGATAATATAAAGCTCTATAGACGTTATGGTAGGCTCCTGAGCTGTGCCTTCTTCTTTAACTTTCACTCAGCTTTTACCACGGGATAACTTGAATCACGGCAGATTCAACGAACTTTTATTGATTCAAATAAATTCACTTTGTGACTTAAAGATTCAAAGCGAATCTTGAGTGTCAAACAAAACATAACCTCCCGCTGTGAGCCTTGCCTACCGCACTATTGATCGATCGCACAGCTCAGAGGAGGATGCCTCATGCCCAATTCTCACGGTTTGAACATAAATAATTTTTATTTGATCTTCACTAAACTTCATTTGATTCGTTTGTTCCGATTTGATTAAAAAATTAAAAATTTCTTAAGTTAAAAACATAAAAGAACTAACTTGAGCCAAACCTTAACTGTGACTGCGCCACATTATTTATTTTTAACAGCACGCCTTAAAAGGAAAGTAAGCAGACGAGTTTAATTTGACCGCCTTTTTAAAAGTGAATTTGTTATTCATTTATGCTCTGCGTTGGTGTGTATATTGTTTGACCACAATGCATTACAAAATAAGAAATAAAACTTCAAATAATTAGGATTAGTTAATTCGTATTAGTTAATGAAGAAGTATATTTAGGGAAGATTATAATTCAGGTATGGGTGAAGAAAATATTTGTTTACTAATTTCTTTATCTAATATCAATTCGGTGATACATGTATGCTGTAATGATTAACGTCGTTGTGATTTTGATGTGTATATTTTTTTCTTGATCATAAGATTTTGTAACAGATAATTGTTATGGATCTTAAAATGTATCAAAATTTTATGGATACAATTATACTCAGTTTTTCATGCTCAGTTTGTCATAACATTCAAATTGATACTATGATTGCACTTTTATGTAGCATGAACATGTACTTACTATGAGATAATATAATTAGTTTTATTTCACTACTGGGATTCTTTTTTTTTTTTTTTTTTTTTTTTAAATCTTTTAGAGGCATTTTTATAACTTCTTTTTTTTCTTTTCTTGTCTTGTCAGGTGAAATTTCAGAGACTATTCGTTAGTATTTATTTTTTTAAGCTTGATTTTTACTTTAAAGTGTCCAGATAAAATATTCATAAAAATCTTGAAATTGGATTGCTTTTGAACTAGTAATTTAAGTCAATTGTATTTTATTGGTAAAAAAAAAAAAATATCTATGTAAAAAAGATATCTGTTAAACCCGTATAAGAAGCTCATTTTAAAATTAAGTCTATCTAACTTTTTAACTTGTAATTCTTTCATATACATTTGAAATTACTATGTTAGGAATGAATTAATGACATTTTTCATGTTAACTATTTAATAGTTATCTGCATTCAGCATGATTTTTTTAGCTTATGACTTGTTTACAATTTCTTGCTTAAGAGATATCTTGACAATTATGCTATGTTATTCTACATTACATATTATTTGAATTTACAGTTGCTATATTAATCAAACATAGTACAGGGTTTAACAAAAAATGAAGAAAAAAAATTGAATCCTGCTTAATATTAAATATTGTATCTTTTATTTTTTCAGCAACTGAGGAAAAAAATCTTAATGCAAAAGTGCTAGTAATGTAAATCTGTTAAACTGTACAATAATTAAGTCTCTTGTAATCTAATATGATCATTTAAATCGTAATATGATATTTTTTAATTGTTAAACCCTATTTTAACGAAAAAAAGAAATTTTTTGTATATATACATAAAATATATGTTGATTTTAAAACGTGAATACAAAGATGTTGTAGTAAAAGATACTTGTCTGTTTTGTGAACCTGTAAAAATCTATTACCACAGTATCCATGTTAGTATATTAGATACTTATTATCACAACGTAAAGAATATCTACTACTGTAATTTATCACTGGCTTCAATTATAATTTAAAACTTTCCAAAATGGATAAGTACCAAAATATGGACGTTGCAGGTGTCTTATTTTTGAAGGGTCCTACTTTGATGAAATTAAAAGACATAGTCACACTAGTTCACTAAATTTCACACATAGCAAATATTTCTTAATTTTGCTAAAAATCTGTAAAAAGAGTAATCTTTTTCTTGATTTTAGCTTTCATTAATTTAAATTTATGATGTTTTTGAAAATTTTCTTTTTGTTTGATATATTGAGGGGACTTTAAGAGATTTCTAGTTATTGAGGAGGATATATATCCACTGTCCCCCCTCTTGCTAATGACACCCATGTACTAAAATATAACTATTAATATAACAATTAAAGTTATTAAATCTTTGTCTATTATCAGTTTTTAAAAATAACTTTTATTTTAAAATAAATTTTATTTTAAAATTGCAACCTTAGGTATTTTTTAAATGGTATTTAAAAAGTGTCTGTAATTTATAGGTTCTTATAAACAGGTTTGTTGTTTTCAGTAATTTTTACTATTAAGTTTGTAAAAAGCTAACTGAATATATCTTTGGTTTATGCTTTACATTATTTTTGCTACTGGTGCAAATTAGATACTTAACTTGCCTTCCATATGGTAGTTTCTTTTTTATTAAAACTTAAACTTTATTAAAAAAATCTTTAAAAATATTATTAGTTTAACAAGAAAGGATTTTTAAAAATGTTTTAAAACCCCTCCATCTTTTTTAGTTTAAAATTTTATCAGTTAAAGTATTTATAATTAAAAAAAAAATTATATTTTCAAAAATATGTTTGATAGTTTCTGGAAAGCTCTTTTTTGATGTTGATCTTCTTTGACATTTTTAGCTCTTCAATGGAGAATTTACTGCATGCTCGTGATAAAGTGGGAGTTCAAGATTTTGTGCTTTTAGATGATTATACAAATGAAAATGCATTTATTGGTAATCTTTACAAGAGATTTCAGGAAAATCTAATTTACGTAAGTAATATTACATAATTTGTTTAATTTAAAATCCTCGAATTCTAAAGATTTTTCAAAGTATTTGAAAAAAAAAGTTATCTAAAAGTAGTTGATTGATTTTAAAATGTAATGGTAGGTTTAAATTTTAATACCCTCTTTATTTGTATAATTCGGTCAAATATGTGAAAATACTGGTAACTTTTTATACCATATTTTATTAGTAGTCAGGTTAATATTATAAATTGGAATATATTTTATAAATAAAAAGAGGTATCTTTTTAGGAATATGTTATTATTTCATTGAATAGTTGAAACATTTGTTTCTTGGGTGATACCACATTGTAAGCATTATATTTTTATTAAAATGTTCTTGTTACTATTATTAAAAATACATAATTATTTGATTTGTTCCATGTATTTTTGCTGTTTTATTATTCTTGCATAAAATGTTTTTTATAAAACTATTTATTTTTAATAAAAATGATAGTATTTTAATGTTTTTTTAACATAATTTTATAGACTTATATTGGTCCTGTGGTTATATCAGTGAATCCATATCAAGATTTAGACTTGTATAGTCCCGAAATTATTGAGCAGTACCAGAATGTAAATTTTTTTGAATTACCTCCTCACATGTAAGTAAATGTTTATTTAATTTTTTTCAAGTCACTTTTAAAACATATTGTACATTTTTTGTTGCTAACATTTTGAAATAGTTATTACCTAAATTATGTTTATTCAAGAAAATCTGCATAATTAATTGTGTTTGTCAATTTAAATGACTAAGTCGTGTGTAAAAATATCAATGTTTTGATGACATACAACAGCAAAACATTATATATGTATAACTTGAAAGAGTTATATTTATTCTATAATATTTGCTTTTAATTTAAATAGCTCTAAACCATATTTGATTTATGCAATTCAATTACATTCTTTGTTGTAGATAATTATCAATCAATGTTTTATTTAAAATGCTCAGATTAATATCATTAGATGTGAATGCAATGTATTTAAAATCTATATTTTTACAATTGCTTCAAATTTAAGTAGATTCGATTCATATTTAATTTTATAATTTATAAATTTTTTTATTTATTTTTTCACTGTACATTTACATTTTTTTTACTGTACATATACATTTAAAACCTTTAAAATGTAACACTAATGAATGCTGTAAATAACACAATTTTTAAATCTCCATGTGACAAATGTAATAGCTATCGTATGATACTCCCTATTTTAAAAAATGTAGATACTTAATGTGTAAAGACATAATGAAGCTGTATAATAGTATAAATAACACGTAATTTGGCCTTCATTTAGATAAGATTTAAAATAGTTATAAAATGTCACTATACTAAGTGTAGAAATTATCTTATTTTACTTTTTGTGAATTCATTTAATAAATTTTACATTATAAATATAACAAATGTTGTTGTTACATATGGCTTTATTGGAAATATTAATCCATATACAATGTTCAACTTTAAGTGGACTTAAACAAGGAGTAAAAAGGAACAAAATTAAAATAACAAACAAAGAAAACCCATGACAAACACATATTAATACAAAAAGAACACATAGAAAAAATTAAAGTAAGAAAAAAAAAATATATATACAGTGAAGAATGAGGAGTAGTCTTTACAGAGAGTTCATGTGATCTCTGGCATCCCAGTAAAGTTTACACAGATCACCCCGCTCTTGGGATTGTTTGTCCAGTAAAGGGCATACAAGCAAGTGGTCTGAGTTCATGGTTCCCGAATTGCAGATTTGGCACTCGCTAGATGGAAGGATACCTATTCTGTTGAGGTGCTCTGCCAAGCAGTCATGGCCTGTTGAGAGTCTGAAGTTTGCCACAGCCTTCTTACGAGGACTGTGACAAAATTTCTTCCAACTGTTTTGGATGTTAGCCCAGGGTTTTCCAGTGGATTTTACTGCTTGGTTGAGCTTTAGGTTGGTCTTAAGTTTCTCGGAAAATTGTTTTTTAAGGGAGTCTAGTGGAATCGGTTTATTACATTGAATATAACAAATGTATTTTTAAAGGTGTTGAAACAGTAGAATTATTATGATTTGCTTTTCATTCAAATGACTTATTTATATGCAATTTTTATGAGAAAGAACAAAAAGTAAAAAAAAAAAAACTAATTAATATTTTTGTTTACTTGCTATTGAACTTTATTTTGTATAAAAATTAGAAATGTTTATTAAGTTATTAATGGTTAAAAATTATGAAAGGTTTAACAGCATTAGTTATAGTTTCTATTGCTCACATTTTTAACAATGTGAATTCATTTTTTGATTTATTTTTTTCAAGATGCATAATTTCAGCAGATTATTTATATAAAATTTATTTTGATCATCCTGAAATGACTAGAGTAATATGTTTGATATTTTTATTAAAAATAAGTTTATTGCTTTAGATTTGCTATTGCTGATACTGCTTTCCGATCTATGAGGGAAGAATGCCATGATCAATGTATATTAATATCCGGTGAAAGTGGAGCTGGTAAAACAGAAGCGTCAAAGAAATTGTTGCAATACATAGCTGCTGCCAGTCATCATGCCCCTTCTGTGGAAAATGTTAAAGACAAACTTCTTCTCTCAAATCCCATATTGGAAGTAAGATGTTATTATAAATCATGTAATCACCTAATAAAAGAATGAAGCAGGGGCTTGTTAGGGAAATTTTCTTTAGGGAGGGAATAGTGCAAATTATGCATCCATGTATACTTTTTTATAAAAGCTTGTGCAACCCCATCGGTGTACCTTTTACCATTAATACAAAAAGATCATTCCATAGAAAGGACAATAGTTAAATTATATATTCATTGTATGAACCAAGCCTACGTGCTCAGATCTGTCGGTATAAATAGGTTACAAATCTGCAGGTATCTGAAAGAAATATTTCTTTTCCAAACCTGTTAATAGCCTGTCTGATAAGTTGTCAAATTTTCATATTCTTCTTTTAATACTACTTTACTACTTGTTTTGGAAATTTTTAAATTTCTAACTTGGAAACTATTTGAGCAATTTTATTCAAGTTTTGTCATTTAAAATTTCATAGTTTAAAATTGTGTAATTTGTTTTTACAAAATCTTTTTGACCTTTATTAAGTAAGGTAATAAAAACCAATTTATAATTATAAATTTTTTTACATAAAATTATCTTTGGATAAACAATTTTATTAATATAGGCAAAAAATATTTCATTTTGCTTAAAACGCTGTCAAGAAGTGAAAAATTTGCAAAAAGATTAAAATTAATATTGGGGGCCCAACCGTTGTGACCATATTATCCAGACTACGGCTACCCTCATATTTTGATGGTTAAAAATCTAAATTTATCGTAAAAAAGGTCACGCATTTAGATAAAGTATGTTTTAATCTGATTTTTTAACATAATAATTAGCTCTAGTTAATTAGAATATTTGAGTTTACATCTTTCAAAATTTGCATTAATTCCAACATAGCGTAATTAATTCGAGTTTTCAATTTTGGGGCTTGGTGAATTTGTTTCATCTGTTAGCTAAAAACTAACTTAACTGTTTATTTTTAAGTTATGACCAATTTTTTAGAAACATAGTGAAGAAATTTTTTTTTTTGAAGTTAAAGTGAACCAAAAAAGTGAATGTATTCTTTAATTTGCTACAGTTGTGATGAGAATTTGTTGAGAAATTTTTAATGATAAACAATAGAAATATACCAACTTTCCACATTAGCCCCATTTCTACATTAACCTTCCTCTGTTTTATATATTATTTTAAAATTTCTTTTCTTGTAAAAAATTATTTACATCCTCTAAATTTAAGTTTTTTATGTGATGTTTTTTAATCCCACTCTAATTGCAGGCGTTTGGAAATGCTAAGACTAATCGAAATGATAATTCAAGTAGATTTGGAAAGTACATGGATGTGGAATTTGATTTCTTGGTAAGTTTTTCTATGCATTTTTTAAAAAAATAAATATTTAGTTTAATGTTTTTTTCTGATATACTCAATTATTTAGTAATTTATATTTTTAGGGAACTCCTTTAGGGGGTCATATTTTACATTATTTGCTGGAAAAATCAAGAGTGGTTCATCAAAATCATGGGGAACGTAATTTTCATATTTTTTATCAAATTCTTTCGGGTGCTGATGATAAACTTCTGGACTATCTTCAATTACGTCGGGATCCTACTGCCTATTTCTATCTGAGTCAGGTATGCATTGATGTCTGATATATATTTTATTCTTCAATCAAGAATTTTATTTAAAATATACTGGGTGTTTTTTAATAATTACCCTTAATATTTCAATTCTTTACTGCCATCTACCTGAATCTTTTTACAAAACATGTTTTTGTTTAGTTTGTAATGCATTGAAAAAAAAAACTTAACTGAAAAAAAAAACTTCTACTGTAAAACAAGTGTTTTGTAGTATATTTTAAGTGTTTGAGACAGATATGAAGAATTAATAAAATGTATGTAATAAATTACAAAGAAAGGAAATTTTGATAAAATCAAATTAAAAATTGGAGAAAGTATGAAAATTTTTTAAAACTTTTTATTGGATGTTTTGTCACTAACCCTTCCTCTTCAATGCTATATACCTGACTTCTTTTTTAAATTTAACTTTATTGGGGGAAATATGAATTTAAATTTATGTTTGAAAGCTATAAATCCATTTTGATTTTATCTTGCAATATTAGTCTGTTTTAGTTTATTGAGAAAGTTTTACAGTTGCATAATGCTGCATCAAAATGCTAATTTAAAAAAAAAGCAACTTATAAATTATGCTTTAGAAATATTTCAAGGAAGCATTACAGGGTTTTAGTCAGTTTTTTTTTAAATGCTTGTTTGTGCCAAAAGTTTTTATCTCCACAATTAGTCCCATCAGCAACATTAACTATGTAAATTTAATGCAATTTGTATAACTGTTTTTATTTATCATGAATGATCTGTGATTGTCTTCAGATCCTTTTTCTTAACAAACAGTCTTGCTATCTAAAAAGAAAAATAAATTAATCATTTTTTATGTATAGCAAATTGTGATCATGTTTATGTCATCTGTAAATTATTAATCAGTTTATATTTGTATATGATATCCTTTTGTTTAGGGACTTTGTTCTAAGTTGAGAAATCTTGATGACTCCGATCAGTTTTCTTTGGTGAAAAAAGCTATGGATGTCACCAATTTTTCTGATGAAGAACAAGAGGTTTGTTAATTTTTTTTAAAATGGTTTTTAAAAGAATTACTGAATCTAAATTGTTAATTCATTTTTATCTTAAAAGTTTTTAGGTTTTACTATTATGTGTGCATGGAATTTTTTATTTACTGTTTGTTTCTGTTGCTAAAGGTAACTTTTCATCTGCTTAAAAACCAGTTTTCCCTCTCATTGACTGAGAACATTGTGTATTGAAAAATTTGTATGTGAAATCGCTGATATTGGAATATCTTGATTAGTTAAATGTTTGATTGTTACTATTAGCACTATATTTAAATAATTGAAGTATTTGATAAGTGTTTAAATTGAATGACTTCTTAATATTTTAATCTGATTATTATTTCAGATATTTTTTTTCTGAAGATAAATTTTATTAAACATAATAGGATAAATAGTTTATTTTCTATGTTCATTATTATTACTTATAAAATAATTGTTTTTTGTTATGAAAATGCATGTCTTAAGATTAAAGAAATTTTGTAAACTCATTTTTTTTTTATAAATGTATCTCTTTTTTTATTAAATTCTGTATTAAAATTTATTTGCTTATATAATATTTAGACCAACTAAATTAAATCTTCTGCCTAATATTATTTTCAAATTACGAAAAATTTTAATTATTCTTTTACTAATATTATCTATCATATAATTTTTTATTAAGTTATTATAGACCATCATAGTTTTTTTTTCATTACTAACAGTTTCAACTCACCTACTGGTATTTCATCTAATTCTTTATGCAAAAATATTTTTGGGGAATGTAAAGTCTTTTGATGATGTAAAGTCTAAGTTTGATGAATGAAGTGCCTATCATACTGTGAAAGAGTCAGACAATTTTCTCTGTCTCATTCATAAGTACTTTTAGCTTTGTGTACTGGAACAGCATGATGTGTTACAAAACTATTTTTCATATACATGTTTGGATGTGTGCTTGGATTAACTTAACTAAGTATGAAAATTTATGTGGTGGATAAAAATATTTAGTTTTAAACTTTCGAGTAGTTATTCCTTTTCTTCCTGTATTTTTTTTTATCGGTTATGAGATGTTACATTGATAAAAATAATTTTATAGGCTGTGTTTGCTATAGTAGCCTCAGTTCTGCATTTAGGTAATGTTGGATTTGTTGAAGAAGAAGGGCATGCCATTCTAGTTCACGAAAAACCAATTCAATATATTTCTAAAGTAAGGATTTATTTATTTATTTATATATTTTTTAAAGATATTTTATAATTTAAAAATATTTTTTGTTACTCTTTTTTACTTGTTTGCTTTCTTGTGATGGGCAGTGTCAGAATTTTAGTATTGTGATATATTGTCAAATAAATGGATTTTATAATCTATATATCTCAATTTTAAAACTATTTCAATGTTTAATATTGAGATTTCTAGCACGACATTTCAAAAATTCAGTTAAAAAACTTATTTAAACTGCTCTAACCAGTTAATCTAAGTATTAACTTTCCAATTAAAATTTATTGTTAATATTGAACTGTCAGTTTTGTATTTTTCTTATGAAATATTAGTTTATTGAATATGTTAATGATTTTACTTAAAATACATTATTCACAGTTATGAAAATTAGTTATTGTATAATAATAGTTTGAGGTAGCTTGGCAAATAATTTTTTTAAATACTTTTCTTTTATGTTTTTAAAAACTTAATTTCATTAAACTGAAACAAACTTGTTATGTTCTGATCCCAGAATTATCATATTAGTTGAATTAAAATTGGTTTTATTCTTTAGTTTACATCTACATATTTTGTGTTTACAGCAAATCTTAATTTATGGATTTTCATTTTATTGATAAATGTTGTTGTTATTTTTAGCTTTTAGGTTGCTCCCCATTTTATTTGATGAATGCTTTAGTAAATAAAACAATTGAAGCTAAACAGGAGTTGGTAAGAAAATTTTTACTTAATAATTATATTTGGAAGCATAAAATTTTCTTTTTATACTTTTAATCAAATTTGATTGTTATATTGTTTTAATCATGTATATTAACACGCAAGTTTTGTGACTGGAACCAGGAAAGTATGCTTAGAATTTCTGTAACTTTTATAATGTAAATAATCATTTAATCCTTGACTTTTAGAATGACCCAGTTCATAGTTAAGTTTCAACAGGATAACTTAATTCTTTATTTAATAATATTTCTTTTATCAATATTTCAAATAATTTTCTAAAAAAGAACAAACTGTAACAAAATTGATTAAAATATTCTTAAATAATATTTGATTTATCTTTTTCTGAGATTTGGGGAACTTCCTTACTGGATCTAATTCTACCTGTCATTCTAAATTTGCATCAAATCGTAAATTTTCCGATGCATATTATATTTGAAGTTCCGTTTCAGTGTTTTTATTAACTGTAACAAAACATACAGTGAGCACAGTGGCGAAATTTCTATAGGGAATAATAGTTTGTCATGAATTGATTTTATTTAACATTAAATCTTTTGTTAAAAAAAATTTATTAAACTTTTTCCTTTCTTTGAGTATGGTTATGGCATAAACCATTCCAATTCTGCAAAACATGCTCTGCTTGATATGTGTTATAAAATTCGTTTAACGTATAAGAAGAGCAGTTTTTACGTTAACTGTTGAAGTATTTATGTTATGAAACTTAAAAGTTTTTTTTTAAATAAGTATTTAGACTAATATTGCTAAATCTATTAGAATGTGCATAAGTAGTATTGTATAATGTTGATAAATCTTCTTGTTTTCGATTTTTTGTGTACTTTTAAAATACCCATAAGAAAAGGAAATACATTTGAATTTTTTATTTTTCAATTTGTTATTTTTCTAAATTTGTTAAGCTCTTTATTATACATTAAATCAATGCACATTTTTTTCACACATTAAGCTTTTTTGAAATTTTTGTTGCATTTTATATTGCTGTTTTTAATTAAAATTAAGTTTATTCTTTAATTAAATTTGTTCTCTTGAAATTCACAGATGTCTAGTCCGTTGAATCGAGATCAAGCTATATATGCCAGAGATGCTCTTGCTAAAGCCCTATATGAGCGTTTGTTTACTTGGCTAGTTTCTAAATTAAATTACTCGCTACAACCTGCTGTAAGTGTTTTTCATGATCTGTATTTTCTCTTTTAAAAAAAACTTTTTTTTATTGATTAAACATCTCTAATGAGAGAGTAATATGCATGTATGCAAGAATAGGAGTTTTTGTGTTCTAAATGTTATTGTATGAAACAGGAAAAAGGATTGAATATATTATTGTCTATCTATTTAGTGGTTTATTACAACATTTCTCATAAACAAATTGTAGGTATACAAAATTCTATTTGCAGATATTATTTTTAAATGTAATTGATGTAATATTTTGTTCATAATTGTAACCCAGATGTTTTGATTAATTTCTCTTGTTGTTACATATAAGAAATTATTTTTTTTTGGCGATTTTTAAATACCTAATACTTTGTCCTTTTATGAAGGGCTATTTTCTAGTTGCAAAAAATGATTTATAAGAAGGGAATATAGTAGAAAAAGTAAGAGTAGGTGATGCCAAACATCTGGGTTTCTCATATGATTAAAACATTATATTAATAGCATTTAAAAATATTTTCGACATCATTTTACACACAATTAGCTTATGAGAATGTTTGTTCTATAGCAGCATTTTGTTTATTACTAACAGAAATTGTTTAAGATATTTATTGGGATCTGACTGCATTTGTTAAATTCAAAATTTTTTTATAGTTTTTTGATGGACATTTATAAAAATCTGGTTATCCTTCATTTTAACATTAAAGCTAAATTATCAAATTATGCTTAAAGCAATGCATATTATCTTATCAATATTAGATTTAGTGGTTTTTCTTGGCTTAAAAGTTCCGCTTGTTCATTGTTGAATCCTTAATTCCATTGTCTAGCATTATATCTAAAGTATTGTAGTACATATTTTCTAAATTTTTGGTTCAATGGATAAATTGTGATTCATTATTGAGATCTGATTCTATTTCAGTTTATTTTAAGGAGACATTGTTAACAATATGTGAAGCAGCATCATTAGATATGCTGAGTATTTAAATCAGCATGTTTAAGATTTTTTTTCTTAATTTAGTGCCACTTATAAAATTATGAAATTCAGAATGACATTGGTCTGGTGATTCTAGATTAAGTAGCAAATATAAAAAACTGCATTTATTTTTTCAAAACTCTTAAATTACATTTTTTAAGTAATCAATCCAGTTGAATTTTTTCTTTTCATTTTTTAATCTCATTAGCATCATATTTTTTAATAATGATTTTATTTTTATAATTTATATTGTGACTTTTTAAACATGATTTATTATTTTTGTTTTAACAGTCTAAGAAAAAGAAAACTTTGATGGGCTTACTTGATATTTATGGATTTGAAATATTTCAAAAGAATAGGTATTTTTTTTTAAAATCTATATTTTCTAAAACTTCTTTTGATTTTGAAGTCTAGTTTTTATTGATTGTGATGGTATAATACTACAATTTTTAAATTGTTCGCCAGCTAGGCAGTAAAAACTTATAATCTCATAATTACATTATACTGTGAAACCTCCAGTAAAGACCACCTCTGTGTAGCAATATTCTCTATTTACGACTTCTTTTAGGAGACTAGGCATTTCTTCCATTGACTCAGTGTTGAAGAAAATTTTTAAGAGAGATTAACAAAACCTCTTCTAGCAACCGTCAAACCTCCACACCAAATGCCAAAAGGGTCAAATAAGGAGACACGCAAGAAATGTCCAAACAAAAAATATCAAGAAAGCAAATAAGTACATTCCAAATATTTGTGAGTGGCTCTTATTAAAAGAGTTCTCTTTGAAAATCTCCGTAAGAGATCAATATCTTTACATTGTAGTCAGAGTGCACTAAAGACGATGCTATCAATGATTTATTATTAGAGTTGAAAGTTAAGTTAGAAAAAAAAGTTATTTTAGAGAAAAAGTAAGCCTCTCAAACAAAAAAATTTCTTTTCATTTTTTAAAGCTAATTTTTATGATAAAAATTTAAATGCATACTTAGACAAAAGCATAATTGTTTATTTATTTAAAATAGTTTTATCATTCATAATTGATACATTTGATTTTACATATAAATATATAAGTAGGGGGTCATTTTTATTGACACTAAATTTTTCTCATTAATTGGCTTTTAATTACATCAACACAAGTGGCATTCCTGCATCTAGAAAATGACACTGACTAAAATAAAAATCTTTGAAATCATGTACCTTCAAAAAATCATGTACTTTTGATAGCATTTTGAAGTTAAAGGATGTAAACCATAAGACTGACCAACCTCCATTAACGGCCATTTTACTGTAAAACAGAGAGTGATGGCTCCCGAAACTTTTCACTGTACTAATAGTATTGTTAGCATGATTGAGAAAACATTAAAGTCATTGCATTTCGTCTCAAATTAAAAAAATATACAAAATTTTTTAATTAATAAAAGTATGCATTAATGCCTATCATTGTAGTTTATCAATTAAAAAGCAAAATATTCTGAAAATTGTGAGTGAATTAAAATTTGTGAATATATCTAAATATTATTAAAGTTTATTTAATTAACTAGTTTTTCTACTTTTTATAGCTTTGAACAATTTTGCATCAATTACTGCAATGAAAAGCTGCAGCAGTTATTCATAGAGTTGACCTTAAAGTCAGAACAAGAAGAATATTTTCGAGAAAACATTGTCGTAAGATAGGCATATATTTTTTTAAATAGAAAGTTTTTATAATTTAATTTATGCACTTTTGACAAAACTTTGTTTTTCAGTGGGAACCTGTTGAATACTTCAATAACAAAATTATATGTGACCTTGTGGAAGAGCGTCATAAAGGCATTATTGCTATTTTGGTAATTTACTATTGAATTTCCCTAAATTTTACTTCTCCCATACATTATTTTAAGTTTTATTTTACTTTAATTCAATACTAGGGGTACACAACCGGCAGCCTGTGTTTAATTGTTTAGATTGGTCCCCTGCCTTCAAACTGGAAATTATATTAGAAAAATTACACAACTATTAAAAGTAGTTTTATAACTGTCTTTCTAATTAATTCCACAAGACAGATGCAAAACAGGGGAAAGTCAAGGAATTTTATCTATCTGAAAAATTCAGGAAAATTTCAAATGATTGAACTAAAATTCCCAAAAATACCCAGTCAGGGAAAATGAACTAATATGAGTTTAAAGTGACTTGTAATTGTTTTTTGAAATTTTTTTTGTATTAAGTGTAAGTGCTTTGTGAAATATTTTATGAAAAAGAAGAGGTATAACTGAAAAATTAATAAAAAAATTTACACTACAAAATTCAAAAATCACAGAAATGTTGGCAAAATCTGTCTAGAAAAATCAAGGAAAAAGTTGGGGAATTTTTTTAATTGAGTATTTGTAGCCATTCCGTTAAAAAAAGTTATAACACTTAAAGTTCAAAATGTAGAAGTACCTACTAATTTTAGGCATCAAAATATTTGAATCTTTTGTAATTTTTAATTTCTTAAAAAAACTCCTCTTTGAGTAAAACATGTTCTGAACAAATATTAGTTCACTGATTTAAAATTAAAGATATTGTTAGTTTATGTTTAGTGAAAAGAAAAAAAACCAGCACTTTACCAAAGAAAGTAATAATTATCAGAGACATCCTACTATTTAATTTAATTAAATGTGAAAAGCTTCAAATATTTACTGATTCAAAAATATTATATGTATACTCAGGGCCGGATTAACCTATAGGCACACTAGGCACGTGCCTAGGGCCTACGAAATTCAGGGGCCTACGAAAAACTTGGGAGAAAAAAATTTGTTGACAAAAATAATTTAGCTTTAAAAACAACAAGTGTATTTTGCACAAAATTATGAAGATACAAATAAAAATATAATATTTTTCGGTAATAAATTATTTTTCAGAATCTTATGATCTAATATACTACTTTTTTGCGATTTTTGGATTCAACAAAATCTTGTATTATGCTGTCGAATTCCAAACTACGCAAAATGTCGTATTCAATAGACATAAGTGCGAGCGATGCCAAACGATCTTCATTCATTGTTGAACGCAAATAATTTTGTATCAATTTTAATTTGGAGAAAGATCTTTCTCCTTCTGCATTTGATCCAAGAATCGACAAATATATTCTTAATGCAATGTGAACGTTAGGAAAAGTATTCACAAGTTTATCTTTAATTTGAGCCTTCAACATTTCTTGTGCAGATTTATACGAAAGGTATAATCCGGCTCTGTGCCTAGGGCCTACAAAAGGTATAATCCGGCTCTGTGTATACTTTGTCAAACATACTTAGACTTAAGCGAAATTAATATTATTCTTAATAAAATACCAAAATATTTCATTATAAGGAAAATTGTTATAAAAATCTGAATTCATAGTCATTACAGCTCTTGAATGCCAAAATGATTTTTCTATGGACCTCTAAAAAATAAATAAATAAAAAATAAATAAAATAAAAAATTAATTAAATTTTACTATATTTTTTTTTAATTCTAGGATTTGACTTTATGCTGTAGGTCTACTTTAGTTTCTATAATCTGTTAAAATTTAAGAAAAAAGTCGAATTTTCATTTCGGAATTAATACTTTTATTCTAGTTTTTAATTAATTTTAGCTTTTATTTCACTTACATATTTTATTGTTGTAGGATGAAGAGTGTTTGAGACCTGGGGAAGCAACAGATATTACGTTTCTATCAAAACTTGAGAAAACAGTAGGAAACCATCCCCACTTTCTCACTCATTCTACTGCTAATAGTAAAGTTAGAAAAACCATAGATCGTAATGTAAGTTTTACTCTTTCTTTAATTTTTTTTTAAGCTGAAATAATTGTTTAAACATTTAAAATGTAGAAGCTAATAAAATATAAATATTTTTCCTGTTAAGCTATACAAAATGTAAGTCTTATTTTATTATTATTTTCGAAATTTATTATCTTTAAATTGTTAAAAATATGTAAGTTGATATTCGGTATGTAAATATTTATTTTCCACTATTAAAATTATTTATTTTGCTTACAATTATTATTTTATATTTCAAAATGATTTCAATATTACTTGTAAGTATTATAAAATTCAATGTAGAAGTTTTTAATTTTAATTAATTTAAATTGTACGTCCTATTATGAAATTCTATTAAAAATTTTTCTTCATCTTAATGTTTCATGTTCTTTTAAGACTAATATCTACATACTATCTTCCTTTTTTCCCCTCTTTCTTAGGAATTCCGCTTAGTTCATTATGCTGGAGATGTCACATATAATGTCGAAGGTAAGATATTCACATTTGCCACTAATTATTCTTCCTAGGTAATTGAAGATTTTCTGAATTTTTTTTATTTATATACTACATTTTAGTTAATTTTTGCTTGAAATAATATGCAGTTTAAACCATTGTGTCAATAATATGCAATAACGTTGGTATTTATATATATATATTTTTACATCATGCAGGGTATTCTTAAATTACTATCTGTGTTTCTGTAAGTCTTAACTTTTGATTAAAATAGGACATATAGTAATACATATTTAGGTGCTTACTATCTGTCGACCATTTACTCCAAATTTGAAAATAAATTTGGATGTGGTTCAAATTTAAATATTTTATTATTTTTGGATGCACTAAGTTAAATTTGTATTAATATATTTCTTCGTGATTAATTATTATGTAAAAAAACCAATTTGGAAGATACCAAAATGAACACGAAAATAGTCAATGGGATAATACATAAGTACCCATATTTGAAAGTATATTAAATTTTTTTTAACTGTGCCATGTAAATAATGAAAAGCACTATTGCAATTCAAAGTGTAACTTTTCTGACCCAAATCCACACTCAATTTTGAGTTTAATTTCATAATGATGATAGGAATGAAGTTCTGCTTCACATGGCTGCCCAAAATAACAAGTAAAACGACATGAGAAAAGTCAAAGATGCCTACTTGCTTCATTTTGTTGGAAAGCCTTATCTAGTAGTAACAAAATTTATAGTTTAATATTTAACTAATCATTTAGTGAATTTCACTTTAAGTGATTTTACCCTTCAAGGCAAGTAAGTACCATATATCCCAATTTATAATTCAACACCCTCTTTTGATCACAGGATAGCAAATTTCTACTATGTTGGGTGTATGAGTTTACCTCTGTTAATAAGGTCAATTATTATTCTCATAGACATCTTCTGTCAAATGATACTAGACACATAGCAGAATGTGGAATCGAATCTTACTGTAAAAATTTATTAGAAAGTATGAAATCTCAAATTCTTTGGGTGGGGCAAAATTTTTTTTTTCCGTGGAACTCAGCAGATGAAGTAGAATTCACTGTAGAGATAGTTAATGGAGAGTTAGTTAAACGTTACTGAATTTAACGCAGATGATGTTTTGGAATCTTTGAGGTTGTAGCTTTATGGTATGCTTTGAAAGTTTTCATTGTGTTATATTTTTTTTTGAAATTCTCATGAATAAATTACCTTAACTTTTCTTATTCTTAATTCTTTTCTGAACTTAATTTAAAATATTGTTTCTGAAAACTATCTTAATATGTAAATAGAATATGATGAAAGAAATGCAAATTTAATTGCATGTATAACCTATTAAAAATAATTTTTGATTGAGGTAGTTTGTAAAGTAATTTGTTGCAGAGTTATTCATATCTGTCTTATTTTTTATTATTCGTCAATATTTCACAATCAACAAATGTCTACTGTATGAGTCAACTCACTGATTTTTGTAGCTTTTTTAGGTTTTAAAAATCTGTATGCAGTGTAGTAAAGGTATGCAGTGGGATATACAGTAGTTTAAATGTGTATAGAAAATGGCTTTTTTAAAATATTTTCTACTAAGTCAACAGATGGCATTCTTGCAAAACTTGATCCCTTCCAGGATGTAAATTTTCTTATTTCTGAACAAACATGTATTTCAGATTTGTTTTTAAGTAACAAGAATTGTTTTATTGATTTATTTTGAAAATAACACTTTTAAACATTATTAATTATTATTATTATTTTTTGTAAAAACTTGTGTTAAGACAATGTAGAATACTTAGAGCTTGTCTTAGATCTGAATTTTTTAACTCTTACTCTAAGTTGAGGATAAAGATAATTTCCTTATATTATGTACAATTATTTTTATTTCCTACTTAATATTGTGGTAAATGTTTTATAATTAATATATGTTTTTACAGGTTTCTTGGATAAAAATAATGATTTGCTGTATAGAGATTTAAAACAGGTATATATATATTTATTTAAACATGTTTGTTGTCTTTGAAATATGTGTGTAATGTTTAATGTTAATACTTTTAATGATTTAATGTGCAGATATATATGTGACAGAGAGTTATGAGAGTTAAAAGTTGCTTTTCAATAGACTCTTTCAAAGCTTAATTTTCAAATGAAGTTTGATCATCCACATATAATTTCACACTGCTTCTAGAAATTCACTTAATTTTACAGTAAATTATGTATTTATGATTAAAAAGGACAAATTAAGCATAGCATACGTTAAAAAGAGGGAAAAAGATTAAAATAGTTATTTTTAAAACCATTTTTCAATTATTATTTTTTAATTATATTGTTTTTGTATACTCTCTTTTTAAGTGACAAATTTCTGAATAGCATTAAAGTAGGATTTTAAGTGGGATTTTTAAGTACATGATAAATAGATGTTAGAAACTAATTTTTCATTTGTTCCTTATACATAACTGATATGTAAATTAAGTTTTAAGTGGATTGAAATATTGATTTATTAATATACCTATAGATAACTGAGTTATTAAATTAGTTGTTATTTTTATCATTACTTTATGAAAGTTTTCAACTTAACAACAAGTAATTTTTGAATTTTCTAACTATTCAAATTTATTTAGGCTATGATTGATTCTGATAACATGATTGTTAAAAAATCTTTTACATTAGAAGAGATTACGAACAAGAAACGCCCAAATACAGTATGTATTCAATATCAGTGTTATGATTTTGATATCAGTGTATTGATGTGTAGGTGTTATTTCTTTAAGTGCATTTTTTAATTATTAACAGGCAGCAACTCAATTCAAAACGAGCTTGTCCTTATTGATGAATATTTTGATGTCCAAAGAACCCTGGTATATTAGGTGCATTAAGCCCAATGAACATAAACGGGCAGGTAATGTATTGATAAATTCTTTTGTTTAATAAAAATTCAATGATAATTTGGACAAACAACTCTTAATACTTTGAACTTAAAGGAGAAGATAAAATTGGTTGAATTAACAAAAATGAGCATTGATTAAAAAATAACAATAAATACTTCTACTCTTATTGTATTTAGCTATGCTATTTAATTAGAAAACTTGCAGTAATTTTAATTATTTGCAAGCTGGATATTTATAATAAATTAGAAATTTGTAAACACAAAGGATTTTTTCATTTATTTATCTACGTGCTTAATATTTTCAAGTTATCATTTGTTCTTTTACTAAGTAATCTGTGTTGATGATTTTGCTTGAATCCCCCAAAAAAACTGGGCATTGTCTGTGGGTTTCAGTGTCTTTACTTTCTTTAGAGCGGGATTGCCATAGAAACTCAACTTCTTTAATGTTCTTTGTTTCTGGAGTGTATTTGTGTTTCATCCACTATTATGTACAGATCTAAGAACTTGCCAGGAGTGTTAACAAAAAGTACTGAACCAGCCTTGGAATAATTATATGATTGCCTGAGAGCAAACACTGCCCAATTTTGAAAACATTTTATCTTGTGATCAGGGGCCCCGGGATGGGATGTTGCTGTGACCTCTCAAAGATATTCACTGTTCTGCAAATTTTGCCTGGCTATTCAGCAAATTAATCTAGACCATTCAGACTTTTTACATAATTTCATTATCTCACTCTTTTTCTTAGAAAAATAAATTTAATTAGCCAATATTACACCTTTATTTAACTTTTTTAAATAGCGACGATTAAAAAAATATCATTTCACGTATTTATTCCACATTTCTTATGTTTTCCTCAAATCTAGTCTTCTTTTTGCCATTAGAAAATCTATTTTTCAATCATTAGTCATGGGGCTTCTATTTTTTTTTGTCTACTTTCATCCGAAATTAAGATATAGATCATCAGTTAGCTCATTTTTGAAAAATCCTTGTAGCTTTCTTCAAAAAGTGTAACAGTGAATAGGTAAATACAGTTTTGTTAGTAATATTGACAAATGTTTCACGAAGTTGAAAAAATTTTAAATTTTAATAACATATTGCAGAAACTTAATTAAAAACTTAAAATTTATTTCTACGATTTTAAGACTGCGAAGTAGCACAAAGTTGAAAGTTTAACTTGTGGAAATATTTTATCTCTTTATATTAAAAAAAAATCTTACATCAGCCATTGTCATAATTCATAAACTGCCCCTGCTTGTGATAAGCATGTGTCTTTTTCTGTTTTCATCATTTTAATTTGTCAATCACTAAAATAATAATGTAGATCATTGCTTATCATTTGTGGATATATAGGCATATTTAAATTTGTTTTACCATTAGTTTGCATAAAGCACAGGAAAAGTTGTGCCATAAACTTCATTCATACTGGCTTTAACTCTTTCAATGTTAACTTTCTAAATAGAAGTTTTATAATAGATACACATTTATTCCTTTTTAGTTTTCTAAATAAACTAAAAGACTTTATTTTATTAATTTATATATTTAAAATATTTATATATTTATTACATTTATATTTTTAACTTTATTTTTCTATATAAACTTTTTCTATATAAACTTTTTCTAAAAAACTTCTTTTATGATTATGGCAATGTAATAACATAATGCATAAAGTTAAAATTTTAACAACAGTCTAGTGAGGAATGTCACTTACTAGAAGCTTAACTTTTATCGATCCTACTTGGTCATCTTCTAGATTTCTTAGAATTTATTTATTGCCCTTCTTAGTTTAATGTTTTTAAAGATGTGCTAAATGTTTTGTCTCTTATCACATTATTTATTTGTTTTATGGGTCAAAATTTGTATTTGTTGAAGGTTTATTTGACAAAACTGTTGTGGCTCATCAAGTGAAGTATTTGGGTTTGATGGAAAATCTTAGGGTAAGAAGAGCTGGATTTGCATATCGAAAAAAATATGAGGAGTTTTTGAAAAGGTATAAATGTTTGTGTCCCGATACATGGCCATCTTATGAAGGACTTCCAAAAGATGGGGTTTTGCTGATTATTCAACATCTTAATTACAAATCAGATGAATATGCAGTTGGAAGGTAAATATGTTTAATATGTTATGCTATAAAAAAAATCTCCGTATTATATATTGAATTATCTCTTTATTCTATATTGAATTTTATAATTGTGTGCAAATTTTTTTAAATTCGCTTAAAAAATTCTCTAGATATGGAGTAATACACAAAAAATAAAATTAACATTTAAAGGTCCAAGCTTTGGACCTCTGTCCTGACCAGAGTATGGAGACAATATTTCTCAAATTGCGGCTACCCCCTACATTTTGGGGGTCAAAGGTCCAAATTCGTTAAAAAAAGGTATGTTTATTCAGAGAAGGAACTTTTTTGTGTCTGATTTTTTAACTTAAAATGTCTGCACTAATTAATTAACATATTTGTGGTCACCCCTCGAACCATTAAGATTGAGTCCCAAAACGTGACGATCCAATCATTAGAGCAAAAGTTATTCAGGGTGGTCCGTTTTTTATTTCGCACACAGTACATATGATATTACAGTGCAGAAAAAAAGGAGCTGTCTTGAATACTTTTTGATCTAATGATTAAACTTTTGCGTATTGGGATTCAATCTCAATGGTTCAAGGGGGGGGGGAACCTTAAATATTCTAATTGGTTTGGGCAGGGAATATTTTAAGTTATAAAATCAGACACGAAAATCTACTCTCTCTGAATAAACATACCTTTTTTTCTGTTGACGGATTTGTATTTTCTATTTTCAAAATATAGGGGGTAACTGCAATCTCAGAAATTTGGTTCAAAATTTGGATCTTTTAATGTTAACTTTACTTATTGCGTATTTTGCAATATATTTAAACTAATATGTTAAAAAAAAGAAAGGTTATATTCATTATTCAGAGAAAGTACATTTTTGTGCATTTGTAAAAGTACTTTTGCTTAACTTAAAATATAATCTGCTCTAAATAATTGGCATATTTTAAGACACCCCATCAAACCATTAAGATTAAGTTTTAGTAGTTGAAAATCCGATCATCAGATCAAAAGTTTTTCAAAGTGGTTCATTTTTTGTTTTGCGCACTGTACATATGCTACATGTACATATGAAGTCTAACGAATTATATATATATATATTAATTTCGTTAAACTTCATATTTTTTCGCTAAAATAGTTCCTTAATCAATTTCGATTTTGTCATATTTGTTAATTACATTATTTTTTTGGCAACAAAAATAATGCCCAGAGATACAGCACATATAAACTTAGTATTCTGATAAGATGCCAAATACAGTATAACTGCTACTGAAATCTTGTGTTATTATATTTAGTTTGCATATACAGTGACAATATGTGAGTGAATGTTTCCAATGCAATATTTACTGTAGGTATAATCTATATTTTGTACAAAAAAGTTTTCAGCTGAATGTTACTTAAATTGTTGATAGATAAATAGTGAAATAATTATTAAGCAATACTTATTTTTTTTGCATTCTTTTGTGGACTGGATTTAATTTTTAAATAATTGGTAAGTTTCAGTTTTTAAGAAAAAAAAGTATTTTAGCTGATTCAGAAACTGCATCAAAATCTATTTTTTTCCCTTTTTATTCATAGATCCAAAATTTTCATTCGATCAGCAAAAACACTTTTTGAAACAGAAGATCAGTATCAAAGACACAAACATGCTTTAGGTAATTTCGATTTTAAGCAGTTTTAAAAAAAATGAATTATGAAAGGCATTATGTTAAATTGTTAAATTATGTATTTTTAGCCACCATCATTCAATCCAAGTTTCGCAGCTACATCCAAAGAAAAAAGTACTTGTCAATGAAGAAATCAGGTATTTAAAAAAAAATTATTTATATTTTCTGCACTATTTAATCCTTTCTTGGGTGGTAGTTTAGCATTTGTCCCACTTATTTTTGATAATCAGATGAATTATCAAAATTGTTATAGTTCTTACCTTTTAAACTACATGGTTTTCCACCAAGCACTTTAAATTATAAGAAATTAAAACCTAAAGTGAATTACCTCTCTTTAAGGCTTTCTTTGACTAAATTTTTTGATTAAAATTTCTTCATCACAAAGCGTTAATCATATTTGCATCATATTAAATTCATCACATCATATGAAGACATAGGGTAGGGGGTGGAGCCTACAGCCCAGTCCCAAACAATGCCATTGACTGGTTTGTAAGCAAGAATTAACTTCTAGCAAAAACATTGAGAATAGCAACTCTAGACATTTTCAGAAAGTTAATTCTATGTTGTTAAACTATTTTTTTTAAAAAAAAGTCAGCTGATTGTTTTTTTAAGTTTATTTAATTTTTCACTGGAATAATTAAAATACTTTTAATTGATATAAAAATCTCACATCATTGCGACTCTCTAAAGCCTAATTATTCAAACCTGTGCTACTTGTAACATAAAATCATCACAATTATAACAAATGGATGCTGAGCAATCAACTTGAGATTTAAATCAACATACTCATACGTTTTGATAAGAGGATACATTGCAGTTTTCTCACTCTTATGTATACTGTTAAAATGTGTATAATGTAAGTTAATTTTTTCATTTAAATGCATAAAATGTTGCATTTAAACGTATTCTTTTAAGTTGTGATTCACTGTATTATCTGGAGCTCCATTTAATTTACAATTCTTTCTGCAGCCTATAAAGAATTTCATAGGTGCTGACAGGTTCCAGAAGATCAAATTTAAAATTTTCAAATTGGCAATTTTCAATTTCTTATAGAAAAAGCTAAAACTTTTATTTTTGAATATAAATTTTTAAATAATTATAAATATTGGTATTTTTAGTTACAGTGGGCAAAATAAAAAAATGAACACCTTAAAAACTTTTGATCTAATGATCAAGTTTTCATAAACTAAGGTACTATCTTAATAGTTTGAGGGTTTAACCTTAATCTGCTAATTAATTTTTGCAGACAATATTTTTAATTAAAAAATTTGACACAAAACTTATTCTCTTTCTGAATTAACATATCTTTTCTTAAATGGATTTTAGTTTTAGACATCAAAATATGAGAACTTTTGCTATCTGGAAAATAGAGTTCCTCTATTATAGTCAGGAAGAGTGGTTGAAAGTTCTGTCCAATGTTAGTTTATTATTTTAAACAATGTAATTCTAAATGATGATTGACAGATTTCAATCAAATCTTTCAAACAGTTCTTGAGAAATGAAAATTTAAAAATATGACTTTTTGAAATATTACTGCTGAATGTTTTGGCAGTTTTTGTTGAAATTTTGTAATTTGAGATAAATTTTTCAAAATAAGTAAAACTTTTGTACCTTAAATTTCTCCCACTATTAAACTAAACAATAAAAAGTTCAAAAAATTTATAATGTAAGATATCATTATATTTGAATAAACAAGTCTTACTATTGTGTGCAATATACTTTTAATTCTTTTAAATGGCCATAAAGGTGTGGTGAAGTATGTAGAAAGTTAAACTGAAGTTAAGTGGCTCAAACCTTCAATTGCTCTCCTGACTAAACAATTGGAACAACAATTTTTCAGAGTGTGGGTCAAATCCAGGCTCTCATGTTTCGTGGGTCAAGTCGAGGCATTTTTCAAATCACTGAAAAAAATAAATTTAGGAAAAATACATTTTCATAAAATATCGCCTGCTTTATCATCTTTAAAGGCTTTTCTCAAAATAATAAGTTTGCATTTTAATGCTTCATATCTCAGAAATTAGATTTTGTTCAAATTTTGTATTTTGTCTTTTAAAATTTCATAATTGTTTATAATGTAAGTATTTATAAACTTCTGACTAAAAAATTTTTTGACCAATTTCAAATTAAAAAATAATACAAAATAACTAATAACCCTCAAAAATCATGATTGGCTTGAAATTATCTTTGAAAAAACTGGTATACTAACATAAATTTATTCTCTTAAATAATTCAGTGTTATTAATTCAGCGTTATGATGAAATATGCAAAGAGTAAAATTATAGTAAGGAACCTAAACTTTCGACCCTAATTATTTGGCTATTTGATCCATAGATAATTCACTAAACTATTTGGATCATATCCCTTTGCTATATAAAAGGGGAAATTTTTTGCGTTTTAAAGGCCAACAAGTACATAGGAAATGATCATTTTTTTTTTATATCATTAAAACAAATTTTGTATGTTTGATCAGAACAAATTGAGTGAAAATATTCTTTTATGTTTATGCATGTATCAAATATTTACGTTCAAGCTTTAAAGTTCCGTTTTTGATTTTATATTATGTATTTAAACAGAGAAATATACTAGTGCTTTTTTGTTTTCAATATTTTTATATATTCCTTTAGTTAATCTTATAAATCGTCATTGGAGAGGCCATCTTGCTAGGTTACATTTGGAGGAAAGAAGATGGGCTGTATCAGTTATTAGAAAGTGAGTTTTATAAAAATAAGTAAACAGGTTTATTTAAAACACTTTTCCTGTTATATATTGTATAAATGTTTTATTTTTAAAACTTTTTTTTTAGATTTATTAAAGGTTTTATCTGTCGTAATCAACCAGAAAATGAAGATAATGCATCTGTAAGTACTTTAATAAAAGTAAATTAAATTCTTGGAGTTCAATTAAATATTGTGTAAAAATTAATAATTTTTGCAGTTGTATATCATTATTTTTCTCTTGTATCGCCTGCTTAGAAAGGAAACTATATTAAGTTTATCTTTCTTATTATGGTTACAATTATGCATTTATTTATTTATTATTATTTTACTCTTGACTTTGTTATTTCACAAAATTATTATTTTTTTGATTAAAATATTAAAAAATTGATTGCACTTTATTTTATAATTCAAAGTTGATCTGCTATGTTTTATATTTCATGATTTATTATTTGTGGCATTCTCTTTAATGAACTATATGTTTCTGTATTTATTTATATCCCTCCTCAATGCCATGGTTGTAGCACTCGCTCTCACAATTCATTATATTTTAATAACATGTCCATGTTTTAACCAGTATCGTTTAACGTATTTTGGAAGTTCTATTTTATGAATGCAAGATTTGTTAGATAACATTCATCATCCAAACATTTTTGCGTATTTCGTGCTGTTGGTATTTTTAACTATATATAAATGTTTTAATACATTTGCAATTTTATTCACTTTACTTACTTCATGTATTTTATATCGTATTCACACCTTTTAATCTGATTTTATTGATACCTTTTATCTCATTTTATTCATGCCTTTTACCTGATTTTATTCATCAACTTATACAATGTTACCAGTTATAATTATACGACAAACTAAGTGTTGATCGCATTATGTCTTTTGAACTGTTTTTACCGTATTGTTTGGCGCAGCATGTCCTCTTTTGGACTTTGTGCCACTGAACCCTATATTCAATCCAATCCAATCCTGTATTTATATCTTATAGTAATGAAAAATACGCATTTTATTAATATATATTTCTTCAAAAATATTCTTTTGAGTTTTTTTAATTAGTTTGTTTAATCAAGGATATAATTTTTCAAAATTAAAAAAGTATTATCGTTACAGGTTTAATAAAAGTGTAACTTATCAAGCTAATTAAGGAACAGATCTTTTATTTATAAAAACGCATTTATTTATCAACAACACATAAGGCAACAGAATTAAAGTTCCCTTAATGGGTTAGTAATAACTTTGCAAAAATATATGAAAAAATCCATAACGGGTTAGTATAAACCTTAAATTCAAAAACAAAAACTATCTCTCAGAAATCAACAACTCTCTGATGTTTCATCAAAATCTCGTGGTTTTAATTTTTCTCGTTATATATTTTATCTCTTTTATTCATGCTTTTGTTAGCTGGATATTTTTTAACATTTTTAGACTTTATAGTATTTTTTATTGTTTGAATGCCTGACGATTTTCATAAATCCTAAAATTAAATGATCAAGAAAAGCTTTTAACTCTATGAAATTGGAAAAATTTTAAGTATATTGCATTAAAATGAAAAAGTAAGAATTGTAAGTGGTTATTGTGGTTTTTACTGGCCATACTTTAATTTGTTATTTTAGTGTAAGAAAACTGATTATATTTTTAAATAAATCAAATTTTAAATAAATCAAATTTTTAAATAAATCAAATTAAATAAATCAAAAATTTTTTATTAATAAAAATTAATTTCCATTTACTGGTTGTGAATTACTTTGATTTCTTAAGTGTATTTATGAAACTGAAGAAAATTATCCAATTTATAATTGCTTTTTGAAAGAAAAACCAAACCTATTTTATAGCATTTTTTGATTTCTTAAATATTTCTTTGTTTCATAGTTCTTGTGGATGGTTAAGGCAGAATTCTTAAAGAGGTTAGCTCGAAATTTGCCAACCCACTTGTTAGACAAATCTTGGCCTTCAGCACCTGCATCTTGTAATGAAGTAAGCTTATTCTATTCCTAGTATTTCAAATTGGATTAATTTTAATTTAATGTTGAACTGAATTAAAATTGTGTTTTCTTTTTGTAATATGTTGTCTGTTAACTTCTTGTACACTGTTCCCAGACTACGTGATTAGTAAACTGTTACTAATAGTTAACAAAGTGTTTGTGATATCACTCTAAAGCAATTAAAAAATAACTAGTAGATGCAGAAAGTAAATGTCCTTTCATCCTATTTGACTTGCCTGTTTTTCAATACATAAATAAAAAACATCTGCTTTTCCTTATTTCTCTTGCTGAAATATTGTCAGTAAAATTTACACATTTAATTTTATTCGAAAAATATTAACTCAAATTTTAAAGTTTTATTTTAATATGATTAACTGTTTCTTTTGTTGTTTTTAACGTTTAAATTAATATGTTATATATTGCATATATTTTAGTGAATATCAGTATTTTACANCTCGTGGTTTTAATTTTTCTCGTTATATATTTTATCTCTTTTATTCATGCTTTTGTTAGCTGGATATTTTTTAACATTTTTAGACTTTATAGTATTTTTTATTGTTTGAATGCCTGACGATTTTCATAAATCCTAAAATTAAATGATCAAGAAAAGCTTTTAACTCTATGAAATTGGAAAAATTTTAAGTATATTGCATTAAAATGAAAAAGTAAGAATTGTAAGTGGTTATTGTGGTTTTTACTGGCCATACTTTAATTTGTTATTTTAGTGTAAGAAAACTGATTATATTTTTAAATAAATCAAATTTTAAATAAATCAAATTTTTAAATAAATCAAATTAAATAAATCAAAAATTTTTTATTAATAAAAATTAATTTCCATTTACTGGTTGTGAATTACTTTGATTTCTTAAGTGTATTTATGAAACTGAAGAAAATTATCCAATTTATAATTGCTTATTGAAAGAAAAACCAAACCTATTTTATAGCATTTTTTGATTTCTTAAATATTTCTTTGTTTCATAGTTCTTGTGGATGGTTAAGGCAGAATTCTTAAAGAGGTTAGCTCGAAATTTGCCAACTCACTTGTTAGACAAATCTTGGCCTTCAGCACCTGCATCTTGTAATGAAGTAAGCTGATTCTATTCATAGTATTTTAAATTGGAATAATTTTAATTTAATGTTGAACTGAAGTAAAATTGTATTTTCTTTTTGTAATATGTTGTCTGTTAACTTCTTGTACACTGTTCCCAGGCTACGTGATTAGTAAACTGTTGCTAATAGTTAACAGAGTGTTTGTAATATCACTCTAAGCAATTAAAAAATGACTAGTAGATGCAGAAAGTATATGTCCTTTCATTCGATTTGACTTGCCTGTTTTTCAATACATAAATAAAAAACATCTGCTTTTCCTTATTTTTCTTGCTGAAATATTGTCAGTAAAATTTACACATTTAATTTTATTCGAAAAATATTAACTCAAGTTTTAAAGTTTTATTTTAATATGAATGACTGTTTCTTTTGTTGTTTTTAATGTGTAAATTTATATGTTATATATTGCATATATTTTAGTGAATATCAGTATTTTACACAATTACCTTATGTAAATTTTTATGTAATAAAGTGCTAGTTAAAATTCTTTTTTTCTTAAATCAGCTTTCTTTTGCCTGTCACATGCTTTTTTTTTTGTGGAAAACCAGTTTTTCATTTGACTCTTATGTGGTCATTTTGAAAAAAAAAAGTTAAGAAAAATTGTGCTATCTAAATTCTAAGACACGTACATAAAAAAAAATCAATATAAGAATTTTGTATAACCCAAAGTCCTAATATTCCTGATAAAAAATATATTGCCCTTATTTGTCTAAATTTTTTACTTTTTGATTTGCAATTTTCAGAATATTTCATTTTCTACAAATTCGAATTTTAAAATAATTTGGATTTTTGGAATACATATTGTTTAGACTCAATACCAACAAGTTTTAACTAATCAGTTATTACCAATAAGTTTCATTGTTTCAATCTTTTTGGGATTTTAATCATTTTATGAAGAGAGAAAAAAACTCAACAATTTGATATATTTTTATCACAATGTATTCAAAAGGCTACACCCATACTTTAAAACACCTGATAACCTTTTCCTTTACTGTTATTGTATAAAAAGGTTTCCCTTAGGGGGCCTGTGAGTTAATTCTCGACAGTGAAACTTCCCATAACATTTATAATGGTCATAATCACAAAAATATACACAGATTTTTAAATGCACAAGGATAAAAATGGTCAAAAATATGCTTTATATTTTGCTATTAATGCTAATAATAGTGATGATTGTTTTAAAAGTATGAATATGTTTGCAGTTAACAATTGTGATGCAATATAATATAAAATAATTTTGATGGGGAAAAAAGCTCTTGAAATTAACTTAGATACACGTTATTTTATCTGTTATGAAAGTTGTATTTAGTAGCTTGCCTTGTGCTATAAGAAATATACTAGAATAATATGTAAAACATAAAGTGTATGCAATAGTATGCAGAAGTGTATATCTAAATCTTATTAAAACTGTAGAATTGTGTGATTAATTTTGTAGGTAGTGAATTTTTTTGTTGTTGCAGGCTTCTGTTTATTTAAGAAAACTCCATAGAACTTGGCTGATGCGAAAATATGTCAAAAATCTCTCATATGAAAGAAAATCACAAGTATTTTTATTTTATGTTTTTTATTTATTTATTTTTGGTTATTTCTGACTTTTGATATTCATTTAGCTTTTAATTTGTTATAGCTTGATCAAAAGGTATTGGCTGAATCTTTGTTTAAAGGAAAAAAAGCTAGCTATAAATCAAGTGTCCCTACTCCTTTTGCTTCTAGTAGATTAAGTGAGTGAAAGAAGCTTTTACATTAATTTTAAGCTTTTTTAGTTTCTTATTGGTAAATTGTTTCGCCATTTCCAAATTTTAGGTCAAGAGTTGGAAGGAAAGTTGATGTCTGTTTTGCAAAATAATGTGCCAACTATAAAAGATAAAGTTGTGGTAAGCAGTTTATGCGATTTGATGTGTGAAAAATAAAAGAAATAATTTTAAATAATTTTTTGTTCTAATCATCAGATTTTTCCCTTATTAAGTGCCAATCTTGAAGGTTCAAATCATTGACTTCAAGTATACTAATTATGTATCAAATATACTAATTTCCTAACATATGCGAGGGTAGCCATAATTTTAAAAATATGTTTCCAATGGTTTAGTCATGAGAGCAGCTACTTTTTTCATAGCTTGGAAACTTTTTTAGTGAATCAAAAACTTTATGCACACGATTATAAAACTTATTCATCAAAAAAGAAAAAAAAAAGTGAAAAAGCTAATTTTTTTCTTTTTAATTAATAATGATTGCAAATTTTTGAATTGTAAGGTATGTAAACTTTTATTTCATTTTAAACTATGTAATTTCACATGGCAAAATACAAAATTTGAGTAATTGAGTCTAATAGTTTTTGATTAATGAAATTTAATAAAAGAAGTGTTTTTAAATTTGCTTCAAATTTCTTATAAAATTATATTTTAACAGAAAGTTAAAGTTTGCATGCCTTACAAAAAATTATTTCAAGCATCATTAAATAAAATAATAAAAAATAAGTATGAAATGTTATTTTTTGTATCAATTTAGATTTGGAAATTTTTTTTTACTATGATGTACAAAAGTTGTTGATTTGCTTTAAGTTCCCAAGATATACCAAAAGATTTAGCTCCCAAGATATAGCTAAATTCATATAAAGTGAAATTGACATTGAAGGGACCAAACTTTTGACAACTGCCCTGTCTAAATTATAAATACCATATTTTCCAGATTAGCCCCAACCCCTATATTTTGAAGATAAAAGTCCTTATCTAAAAAAAAAGTGTATACAAAGATAGACAAGTTTTGTGTCTGATTTCAAAACTTAATTCATAGTTAGGTCAGTTCTTGAACTTTTAAGATTGGCTCTTAGTTTGTGAAATTCCCCTCATTAGAACAAAAATTTATGGTGATTTTTTTCTCATTTTTTTTAGTCACATTACATTTTTATCTATCTGATTGCTTGTCAACTAAGTTTCTTAGTGATCTGAATTAGTTAGTTGAAAACTTGGATTATAAAGGTTTTTTTAAAATTAAAAACAAGATATAATTAAATGTAATAGTTAATAATTATACTAAAGACCTTGCTGTAAAACAATAAAACACAGTGGTATAAAAAGAATAATAAAGATTTTTTGCTTTTCTATCAATCTATAGTGATATATTTTTTGATAAATTATGACTTAGAGCGTTTACTCTTCATAGCTATATTGCAATACCTTTAAAAATATAAATTTTAATAATATGTTTATCACATAATTTAATGTGTTTGTGGCATTGTATGAAAAATCAAACCAAATTACTGTTACTCTTTTGACATATCTCTATCTTGTTTACAAACTGTAGCTATGTAGTATAATTTGCAAAAAAACTTGTTCCTTCAACTAAAACTTCTGCAAGTAACATTTCAATTTAAATGGAACTTTTATTGGGATTCTACTGTCTAATTAAATTTTTAAGCACAAATGTTTAACAAGGCCAAAATAGTTAAATTATAATGCCCGAATTATTTTGTATGTAATTTATGTTATTGCATGTAAATTGCAACATTTGAGAAAATTTTTAATTCATTCAGTTGTGTTTATTACTTTCACAACACCTAGATTATTCAGTTTAACAACATGATTGGTTTAAGAGAATTATATTATTAATAGTTGATTTATAAAATTTGTATGAAACAAATGCAATTGTATTTAATACTCTATATTAATATTTTCTCACAATTTTTATTTTATGATAACCTTTGGCTACTAGATAATATTGTTTGGGTTTCTAATTATTTTTTGTTGTTTTAAGTATGATGGAAAACACACACACACATATATATGGAAATGCCACTTCTGTTGACGCCGACAGGAATAGACAGATCGATGAATAAAATTAAAAATGATGTCTACTGATATAATTATGTGTAAAAACAAATTTACTAATTATGAATGATAAAACTTTTTCAAATAAAAATACAATTATGTTTTTTTAAGTTCGCATTTAATTTTATTTCATAAAAATTAGTGATCTTTAAAAGATGAGAAGAGGTTTGTTTTTTCTAGAAGTAAGTCATTGATAGCGTTGTCTTTATTGTACTCTGATTGCAACACAAGGTTGTATCGTTAAAAAGAGCTCTCTAAATAGAAGCTTCACTCTAATATTTTTAATACATTTTAATCTGTTTATTTGTTTTGTTGAATTTTTTATTTTGATATTTTTTCGCATTTCCTTATTGGACATTTTCTGCATTTAGTGCAGAAGTTTGCCCGTTCTCTGGAAAATGATCTCTCCTAAAGGTTTTCCTCAACACTAAGTGTAGGAAAAAAATTCCATGCCTCCCAAATGCGGTCGCTTCATAGCCGTGATCTTTCCTGGAGGTTTCACTCATATCATATGTCTCAGATTTTAATACAAATTTGTGCCTTAGCCTAGTTGTCTTACAAATCATGTAAAATAAAAACAATGCTTTAACGTAATTGAATACATTTGTTGCAGATTAGGTAGTTCAAATGATGAAAACTATATCATAGTAACTTTTTATGAGTTTTTTTTTATACCTATTTCTTAGTAAATAGAAATACTTTTTTTCCCCTTCACTATAGTATATGCTGCCTGTTGTCAAATATGATCGTCATGGTTATAAAACTAGAACTAGAATATTGGTTGTGACCAAAGATTTGATTTATTTGTTTGATGACAGAAATTTGAAGATGAAGCAGCAGAATGCCTTGAGCAGTTTAAATGGTAAATATATTAATTTAAATTGAACTGAAACATTTTTAAGGATTCCATATAGCTATTTTAGATTATGCTGTATTTAGCATATTGTTCTAAAATGTTACAGTGTATAATATATTCTTTATTGTTTTATAATGGAAATTACTGTTAAGTTATATAAAGGCTCATTGATGCAAATCTCTGTATCATGAAGTAAATCTCTGGTTTTAGTTGCTTCTTTTTGTATCATACTTAGTTTATAATGCTATCAATTTTACAAACTTAAAACTTGTTTTCAGCATATTATAGCAATATTTGATCCATGTATCATCCAACATTCAAGCTTTGGCTAGTGAAAACTTAAAGCATAAATACAGAGTGACTTTTAAAAAGCTTTCTAAAAAAGTAACTTTTAACTCTGTAAAATAATCATTTGCTCTTGGGGACTTTTGATTCAATACGTTTTTTTGTATTTGAAAAAAAAATATTTAAATGTAAATTTTTTTCAAGCAACAATGTAAAAAGAAATTACTGAAATTAAATGTTTTATGTATTTTTAGCCATTTCAGTTAGCAGTTTTAATGATGGTTTTTGTGTATTGAAACTACCATGTTCGAATAAAAAAGAAAAGGTAAGCTTTTCTTGATTTATTTTATATCCAAAAACAATAAGAAAATAAAAATACAAATGAATATAAATTTGTTTAATCTTAGTATTGTTTTATTTAAAGTGACTGAAAACACTTTTCACTCATACCAATAACAAAAATCAATATAATATATTTTTTTAATGAATTGTAATGCCTGGTTTGTCCGCAAGACTGCGCTAGTTATAAACTTCACCTATGATCCTCTCCGCACTTTCTCTCGAACGTTTAATTTGAGTGGACGCAAAAAAAAGTGATGTTTATGGTGTTTTTGTATTGTTTTATCATAATTAAAATTCTAAAATAATGAACTGAGCTAGAGTGATTTATTACAGAATTACTATTTTCTAAATATTTTTATTGTGATTAAACTATCTTATTTATATATTAATTTTACTACAATCAATATATTTTAGCATATAGTTTTCTGGAATTGATGAGTTAAACCACACTAATGTTTCATTGGCTAATAGATTTTACAAGAAAAATATAAATTTAAAGACTTAGAAAATTGACTTAAATCGTCTAACAATAGTACTAAGCTTGAAACATCTAACAATATAGTACTAAGTTTGAAACTACTTTGTTGTGTTTTTCATATATTTTTTAAGGCTTCAAAAATATATTTTCAATCAAATTGGCTTAATTTTGAAATTCTTAATTGTTACGAAAAACTTGATTACCACCCTGAAGCAAAAAATTTAACTTTTATTTTCATTTTTGCATTTTCTGAAATTTATAGTTTATAAAAGTAAAGTGATTTACAAACTTTGAATTTTTATTGGAGTAATTTACAACATTGAGAAAAATTTTGTCAGATATAAGCGCTTGCGCATTTTTAAATTTCAGTATTTTTTACCACGAAACGAAATTTTTAGTTCCATACAATCGAAATTTTAAAAATTCACACCATTCTTGTTTTTTTTTTCCCATGTGATTGTAGAAAACTTAAGTTTTTAGCTCTAGCACAAGATTTTTTGCTATTTTTATATTTGATTTTTGTAAAAAATGTTTTATAAGTTAAATATTTTTTCTACATGCATAAAATTATCTTTAAACTACTTTGTTTGAAAATTTCAAAAACAAGTTAAGATTTTTTAACTTTAGTTTTCAAAATGTTTAAGTAGATTTTTGCACAAGATTTCAGATCCTTCTTGATGATGGGATAAGTTATCACATTATTGTTTATGTGTGCTTAACCTGCATGACAAAAATTAAAAATCATGTCAAAAATTATAAAATTTTGACCGAAAAATTCAAAAGTAGTTCAAATAGTGAGAACTTCATAATTCCTTCATTTGTTATAGTGATAATAGCTAAAACTTTTTTAAATGAATAAAAGTCAAAATTATTCAGCAAATTATACTAATGCTAATTCAGCAATTGTTCAATTTTATTATTTATTAAAATGCAAAAAATCTAAGTACATTAAAATTAAACTTATAAATATTTTAATATTTTTTTTGTTTTGGAGTAAAATCATTTTATGATAGTTTTAAAATACACATTTTATAGCTTTTACTAAAACATTACAATTATCAAAATTTTTAGCTTTCCAAATTTTTTTTGTCCCTTTTTGATATTAAGGGTAACTGTGTTTTGTTATATCTATCTATATATCTATCTGTATATAAAAAAATCTCAATTTTGTTGTGTTGATTTTTAGAATTCCTTAGGGTGGTATCTACTTTTAAAAATTACTCCAAAATGTTAAAATATTATCAAGAAAGTAAAAGCGTATAATTATATAAGTGAAAATCTTTTAAAATTATAGAGAGTAAAAATATGTTTAAATATTCAGCAGAAAGCCATAGTGAAGAAAAAAAATGTTTAATCCTGTTATAAAATTGATTTAGAGTTAGCTCTAATATAGGATACGTATTTTATAAAAATTACTTATTGATTTGGCACTATTTATAGGGTGATCTCATTCTCGACTGCCATGAACACCTTATAGAAATGGTCATAAAGCTAATTACAGCGAGTGGAAATAAGAAACTTCTTACAGTTTTAGACAAAGAAAAAAAGTATATTTTTCCTTAATTTATTTATATTAATTTGCTTTCATCATTGAAAGTTATCCATAGAATATTAACCTCTTTTTTTTCAGTGACTTAACTCATGAAATGTTTGGGGGAAAGAAAGGTGTAATAACTTTTTCAGAGGGATCGACAAACTTAACTAGTAAAGGAAAAGATGGAAGTCTCAAAGTCGTGAGTGTTGTTTTCTGTACTTAATATTTTAAATATTCTGTATTTATTTTTTCCAATATCATAGTTTGTTGGATAGCTTTTATATGAGCTGGTAGCTGTACTTTGGTAAACACCATACTACTTAGCAAAAAAGGCCTTAAATTAAATTTTGCACCAAAAGTTGCAGTAGGACATATTTTAAAGTGTATCTTGTAAAAGTTCAAAATATTAATTTATTATTACCTATACATTGTATTAAGAAATTATTAGATGATTGGAGAATTGTTTCATTTCTGAAAAAACAACTTTTTAGTAGGCATTTCTAAATATAATAGAAAAACACTTTCTGAATGAATTGCAATTTTAGAAATTAATTTTAATGACATTTGTTTATTTTTAAAAAAGCATCTGTTAAATATTAGGAGAACACTTGCCAAAATTTACTTATTATATCAGAATCATTACCATATATTTCAGTGTATAAGATGATCCCCTATTTTTGATTATAATATTGCACATTTTTCCTATGTTGAGTATGTAAGTCAAATGCTGAAAAAACCAAATATGCAAATTTCTAAAATTTAAAAACATAAAAAGATTATTAAGTATACAAAATTCTCTCAAGTTAATAAAAATATTTCACATTCTGGATGTGAAGATGCATTAACAAATACTCTGAAGCATGTGTGATTAATGGCAAATATCAGGATGTATAATCTATGATTAGACGTATCAGTAGGATATTGATTTTTTTTGCCAAGCATCTAAATATATGCAGGGAAGTCTGACACCCTTCCGCCATAACAGTTAAATGAATAATCTACCCTGACCTTAATGAATAATCTACTCTGACAGCTAAATGATTAAAAAAATGCTAAAGTAATGACATTTTATTGAACAAGATTAATTAAACAATTTTGTCATGAATTATAAAATAATTAAGTTGTTTGATCATTTATGTATTGAATTCTTCTTAGGTATCCAAGCCTTCCTGATGGGCCAATTAGTTGACTGACAGCTGTTTTATTTTAGTAACCATAATCATGACATTAGTTTGTTTATTAAGAACTCGTGTAGTATTTTTGTATTTTAATTGTGTTAAATTAAATTTTTCTAGTCCAGGGGAATATTCAATCAAGACAATTATGGCATAAGTAATAATTAATGACAATATTTTATTTCAGATAAAACCAGCATAATACTGTGCCATATTTAAATCGTTACAAAATATTTGATTTGCAGCTTATCTTCTTAAAATACCATTTAACAGAATAAAAAATATTTTCTGATAATCTTTATAAATAATGATTATTTTTGTACTTAATATTTACTTTTGTTTTGAAATGTGTATTAACAAAAATATGTTTGAATATATATCCATTTACTTGTATTGTATTTATTTTATTAATTGCAATCAATTTATAGCATTTCACATTGCATTTCATTCAAATATATTTGTTTCAAATCAAGTTTTTATTGTGATATATTGATTTAAGTGGATAATTTTCTTTCTTTATAACCGTAAGACTAGGTTAAATTTATTTTATTTAAACAAAAGCATTTTAAACATATATAATTAATTATATATTTTTTTAAAAATTTAAAAATATATAATTTTTGAGATTTGCTTCTGAAATTGTAATATTTTGTTGGCAAGTTAAATTTGTATATTTTATGAATGTTTGAAATTACTTAAATGACTAAAAGAACTTATTGTAATTTTATTGAAGTATATTTGAAAAAAAGTTCTTTGAAGAATGTATTTAAATATATTTATTTAAAATAATGTAATGTGCATAACCCTGTTTTTATTGTTAAAAATTAATTCAATTTCTTAACCTTTTTAATTGACAATTATCCTTTATATTTTACTCAATATTTGTTTTAAAACTTTAATCGGAATACATGTTTTTCAAACAAATATACTTCCCTTTCGTGAAGTTTATTTTCTGACTTCAGTATAATGAACTCTGAACTGATTGTAACCATCTAAACCTTTTACTTTTTTGGACAAAGTGCCATTAGGAGAGGTGATTGTATTCTGGGTGTACCCCAGACTTCTGGGTTTTTCGTATCTTTCTTCCTGGTTTTTAAAACTAGTTGCAGAGCATGTGATTTTTCTGCAAATATAGCATCATATCTCAAGACCGTTGGTTTGCAGACTTCTGCTGATCACAAACTTATAATCCAACAAAACTTTGAGAATTACTGCTAATGAGACATTAACATACATCAATTCTTCCGCAAATTTGATTCTTTTGGTTTGGCAGATTTTCGCCATTATGAATCTTCTGCTAATATCAAGATTTTTATTCAGGCGATTTTGATATCAAATATAGATTTCGTATGTACCAGATTAAAAAGTTATGATTTGTATCTACTCTATTTAAAAATGGTACATCACAATTTGTATTATTTAAAAATCTAAGGTTGCAATTCGTATTCACGAGATTGTAATATGAAACATTAATTTTTGTATTTCTACATGATTTAAAAGCTATGTATTGCAGTTCAGATTCCTGTAATAAGTCACGATTCTAGGAAGAAGTAAGGTTTTATTTTTTAAAAAATTAGAAATAATTTAATTGTAAATGTTGGTTAAAAAATTATGTTAAATATAAAACGTATAGTAAATAAATCTTGATATCGGTACATTAGATCCCAAATTCAATTAAAAATTCTTGCCTCTTTCTGGGCAATGTTGATGTTTAATCCTAAATACCCAACATATTATTGGGTCTTTTTGGTTATGTTGGCAAAACTTGAGAGAGAGAAACATCTATTTGTTCAGAGTATCCTAGGTGGTGCAAGTATGTCTTACTAATAGACTAGACCTACTTTAGAATAGATTTTTTTTCTTTAAATAGCATTATATAGGCCATATTAAGGAAATTAACTTACTACTTTTTATGTCAAGCTAGTAGGTTTTATTGTACAATTTAAATTCTCTTTGATATGATACACTAATTGAAGAAATACTTCAAGTATTTGCACAAATGCTTGTTTGCTTAACTAACCTTTAGATTTATTTTAATGAAATTAATGAGTTTTGATTTTTCATATTACAATATTTTGTTTGATTCTTGATGCAATTTGCTGATTGTAATGCAATATCAATGTTGATATAATGTGTTGACTGTCCTATAAATGATGAAACAAGTGCCTTATTTTAATTATCGGAAGAATGTCACGCTTGTTATTATTTTTATTACTGTTGTACTTAACGAATTACAATGTTTTCAATCAACCTATGTATGTGATATTTTTTAATGTAAATAAATACTTATTTTTCATAATAGACTTTTCTTTATTAAAATATTTTTTACCTCCGAGAAATTTGTATTTTTGGATACTTAGTTTTGGTAGCTTAGGCAACAAGTCTAAAGTTTCAGAACTCTTAATATTATCTTTACTTTTTGGACATTTCGTTACATTTCTCTAATAATAATTGCACTAATAAAAAAACCTTAGCATACTTATATTTGTTTATCCAAATTAGTTCCTGACAATTTTTTTTTTGATACATAATTTATTAGTGATAATTTTTTTTATTTTAAAAATCTTAACATCCTTTTCAAATAAGTAGCCTCGCAACTTTCCACTGTACTAAATTATTGTAACCATATTTTCCAGATTGCGACTACCCATTAATTTTTTTTAAAGAAAAAATCCCCTTTATTTTTTGAATTAAAACTTGTAATATCAATAGCTGTTTAGTAACATAGTGAATCCTAAATCTTGGTTTTTAATAGACATTAATTTTGAAAAGTCTTATAATTCTCCTTTAATCCACCATAAAGGAAAAAAAAATTTACAGTGACAACAATTGTGAAATAAACTTATAAAGTAAAAATTTTATGCTACTACCAACAGTAACAAATACAATACGGCCTTTTCTGCTAGCAACAGGAAAATCTATGCCTAGTCTAACAGATTAAACATAAATGGAATTTTTATAATCCCCAAATATGAATATTAGAAAAAATCATATTTATAATTTAGTTAAAATGAAAAATTTAATTTTTATTTTAAGTGAGTTGTATTCAATTTAAGTTTGTAGCTATGTATCTCTAAATCATTGTTTAAGAGAATGTTTATTCATATGATGTCCATTTAAAATATAACTTTTAGATCATAATTTTGGGTATTAAGTTTTGTCATACTGCAAGTTGCTTTCATGAACTTGAAATCTTTAAAATGCATAAAAAAGATAGCATCAGTTATTATTCTTGATTACTGGTTTATTTTGTGAATTTCATGTCATTGTTAAAGTCTCTACCTAATCTAAAATTGGTCTCAGGCCTGTTTGGTTTTGTAGGTACATTTAATTAAATCTTTTGAAAAAAAAAAACTATTTACACATTGTCACTATTTACATAACAAACTTTATGATCGCATATAATAATCAATTATAGTTGAAAATGCAGCAAATCCAGCAGCTCCTATGATGCCAGCTTTTACTCCAGCTGAAGAAAGAGAAATAATTTTAGAGTTAATATAATCAGAAAACTAGATTTTGAAAAAAATTATAATATTAAGGACAACACACTTATGTCAAACATCAATTAGATCACAAATTAGAATTATTGTCACAAAACAGAATATTAGAAATTTTTTTCTGACCACTGTTATTATCGCTTTAAAATCCTGCATTGGCCCTAATATTTTGTTGAAGTACAAGCAAGTATTTTTCAGTACTGAAATCATTACTTCCTATTTAACTTTTATGAAATTTAATTGATCAATAGTTCATTTAAATTTTAAATCACATGTTTTTGCTCATAAAATACTATGAAATTATAACATAGCTTTTTAGAAATAAATTTTTTATATAGCATTTTTAGAATAGGTAGGTACTTTATTTACATTGTAATAGAGCTGCACAATGGGCATTTGGCGACGGTCTGGGAAACATCCCGAATCAGTCCCATCTGGGAAATAATCCGAATACACTCATTGCAATTTTGATCCTCTGTAGGGACATGGCTTTCCTGCATGGCTGCACAAAGTCTAGCATTTTGTGGTAGAACAGTTTAACAAGGGCCAATACTGCACAACTCTCAGTCTCTACCCAGGCTGATCAAAGTGGTCACCCACCTTTTTACTAACTGCAGCCAGTTATGCATGACTTTGGTGTTCTACTTGGAACCGTGTTTTTATGATCAATCCACTAGGGGTTGATTTTTAGAACAGATTAGAGCCAATCCATTTCCACTTTCTCTTTTTAAATTCTATTATAGTTTTATTTTTTATCTTTATAGTTTTCTTTTTTAACCTATATTTAAACTCTTAGTATCAGAATTGAGCATATTTGTATTTAAGTTGTACATAAATGTTTTTTCTGCTGCAAACATCACCAAAATCTAAATCACGTAATTGCTAAGTGAATGTCCATGTTAGTGAGTCTTAGTGTATTTTATGCTCAGCAATAAATTTTCATAGTTAAAAAGGATAATATTAGAAAGTGCAGCTGATAAAGTTAAGGTCTGAACAATCAGGTTTTAGAACAAATAGATCTTTTATTGATGAAATCGCAACATTAAGATTGATAATTAAACAATCTATTGAACGGCAAATCACACTATATTTAAATTGTGTTCGTTTCGAGGAAGCATTCATAAGGAAATGGGAATGCTTCCTCAAAATTAACTCATTTATGGTTCACAAAAGTGATTTATTAATATTAATTAGATTTAGTTGTCAATGAATCTTATAAAATTGGTATAATAATTCAAATGATTTGCATGAGATTTGACTTTATGTGAGGGTTCCACAAAAACCCATCTACACAGTAAAACTTGCCCGGGTTGTACTGAGTAAAACCCACCCTATAATGGGTTTTACTAAAATTTATTCGGACTTCTGCTCCACTTCGGACTTATTCGTATTAATTATTAATTACACTTTAATTACTTTTATGTTAAGTAAATTCATAAAATTAAACTTTTTTCTGGAAAAACCCGAGTTTTTCGCAACCCTGCTTTATATTAATGACTTTATGGCAATGTTCAGAGATTTAATCTTAGTGATGATTCATAATTTTGAATTTAAAAAAAAAAATTAGCTATCTAATTCTTGGAATTAAGACATTAGAAAACAATAATTTTAAAAGTTTTAGGTATGACAGGATTCAAGTGCATGACATGCATTTTTCTAATTGAAAGTATTTTCACAAAATATATAATAATGTAGTTGTCAGAAGCAGCACACTACAATTAGTGTAACTACTGTAGTTTCTACTTATTTTCGTAATTTGTAGTATGCTACTTTTTTAAAAAAAGTAGTGATTCTTGTTTACTACTTTTAACATTAGCTTGGTAAAAAAAAACAAAAAACATGCAACAAATTTGAGGGGTACAAATTTTCGCAGGTTCATCAACGAACGCATTGAAAATGTCCCAGTGGTTGCACATCAACAAGAATTACATATTTAGAGTAGAATCAAGAATAACTAATATTTAATTTAGCCATTACAAATAATATATAATTTATCACTTTGGTCACACTTTCAGGTGTGAATGAAACTAGTGAAACATAGATGATATTTCAAAGATTCCCTAAAGTAGTAACTACATGTCGAAAGTAGTTTATAGTCACTACATTGAAGAGAAAAAAAAGTAGCAGTTAACTACAAAAATATTGTAGTTTTTCCAACCACTGTGATAATCAATTAACTGATCACTGTAGTAACTTCTTACAATATCACGTCCACGAACAAACAAATATTTTGCCCGAAATCATATTTTAATCAAATATTTAGAATTTATTTTATTCATAAGGATAATTTAATGAAAAAAAAATGTATGTTTTCTTAGGAATTTTTTAATATTAATCAAACAAAATGTGTTCACAGAAACTTAAAGTATATATGCCAGATATAAAATTAAACAGAAATAAAACATAAAGCCAGAAATAAAAAAACTTAATTAATTAAATAATTAATATAAATGATAATTTTAACAAACCTCTTAGACCAATCAAACCACCAGTAATTCCACCTGCCATTGTACCATTTTTCCAATCACTTTTTCCACGATGCTGCAAATACAATATTTTATAATCCGACAGAAATTTAAAAAAATATATATAGTACAGTAAAAATATCAAAGAAAAACTGAAAGCTGTAATGGGTAATTTGATAAAAATTAATAAATGACAAAATTTTTCTTAGTAATTAAAAATGATCTTAATATATTTTATATTGAAGCAAACACAATAAACAATCATCATTTCAACTCTCGAAAGTTTTATTTAAGATGCAAATTATTTCACAAGCGTAAGTAAATTTTATGAACATTTCATGTAGATAATTCAATACTAAAATCATTGAGATATGACATTGTTTCATTTAAATTTTAAAATAAAATATAAATTTCTATTGCACTGACAATCCAGCAAATTATTTTCTTTATTTTTTGGTTTATCAAAGCACAGAACACTAAAAAAAAATTTTTTTAATACAACTTAGGCAAAAAAATACAATATTTTCTCGTTTTATTATTATTTTTTTGCTACCAAAAACTAATTCTTGACAATTGTAAGATTTTCCTAACCTCATGGGAGCTCTTCACATATGTAAAATGTTAAATTAAGATAACACTTACACTTTCTATATTGCATTCAATGGCAGCAAAGAGAGCACCAATCATGGCAAAGTTTTTTCCATAAGAGGTTGTTTTCACTTTGAAGTCATTGAAAATCATTTTAACAGTTTGCTTTTCTGGTGCTATGCCCACTTGTGGATCCATGCTGGCTGACAATAAACCCATAAAGGCACCAAATGCAAATCCTAAAATATTAATAAATAAATAATTTTCGATGTATTTTTTGGTACTATTCTGTTTCAAGAGAGCTAAAAAAAACAACCTATTACCAGATTCCTTATTAGTATACTTATCACCACAATTAATTAAGCATCTTTTGCATCAATAATAGTTTATCGATTTCTTTAATAGTCCTCAAAAGAGAGTAGAATTAAATTTTCTTATGTTACATAAGTTTCAATAATTTTTAATTAATTGAAATTATTTTAGAGATAATTAAAAACTTTTGAAAATAAAAATGCAATATTTTTATTAGTCTCTGCACTATTATTAAATGGTATCTTTGAGAACTGTAATACCAGTTAGACCTAACCAAGTGTTATGCAGATGCAATGAGGAGATGATATTTTGCCAAAGAGTTTTTGCGGTTTCAAAAAACTTAAAAAAAAAAAAAATGACTGGGCCCACAACTTATACCTTTTATGTTTGTTCCTTTTTTTTATGGTTTTTTTACTATCTCGACTGTGATCACCAAACCTTTGGGTTACCATTTTGGCATAGTTATAAACATGGAACAGAATCCGAAATAGTGTTACAAAATTAAAATTTGTAATCCTTGAGTGTTTCACCAATATACACTTTATATGTCTCTTTATCCTTTTTTAAAAGCAAAGAAAAAATTTCTAGCATACAAAGATACTCTCTTTCGGGGATGCAGAAAAAAGATAAGAATACACTGTTCTACTTGCATAAAATGTATTTTTTATTTTTCTACGTAATTGTTATTTGTCACCGGAATAAATGCTTTTTTGCAACCCTCAAAAGCTTTTATAGTTTTTTTAATATTTCTAAAAAGCTTTTTTTTCATCAATAATGATTTGGCAATTTTTTACAATTCTCTTAAATGATTTAGAACTATTTCTCCAGTAATTTTGTTCTACAGTACAAAGATTCTTTTTCTCCCTATTTCTTATAGCAACTATTATATTAACAAATTAAGCATCACTGGTGTCAATAATAATGTGGAAATTTTTTGCAGTCCCCCTAAATGAATAAGTACCTTTTCTTCATTAACTTTGTGTTTCAGTAAATAGAACAAATTTTTTATTTATTATTTCATTTAGAACTTAGTATCAAATTTAATCAAACATCATTGGTATCAGTAACATTGCAGAAAATTTTATGCTTCTTTTAAATTACCTATACCATTTTATCATTAATTTTGCTTTTTAGTGCATAACTTATTATAATTTTTTTAAAATTTTATTTGATGTACAGCCTATTACTGAAAATAATCAAGCATCATTGGCTTCAATACAAATTTTCACATTTCGTCTAACTGAATTAGAATTATATTTATCTATCAATTTTGATACCAGCATATAATTTTTTTCTCTCCAGAAACCATTGATTTAAACTAATTAGTTCTATAATCACCTTTTTAAAGCACAACTGTAAACAAAATAAACATGTGAGTTCATATAACTTTAGAAACAATAATTTGGTGATGTAGTCTGCCTTTGTCACCATACTCCTATTAATCATTGAGTTTATCTGACATATGAATAAAAGTGATTAGATATTAAAAAACACACAAAAAAATGGGGATATATTTCCATATTGCGATCTGTTGCATCAACTATAACCGCCTAGACCCTAATTGGATTTTAAATTTGCATTTCTTTTTGAAAAAGAAATGAAGATTTGCCAGAAGGTGGCTACAAGTTATACCCTCTGAATTTGTCCCCTTTATGATGTTGCCAAGACTTGTCTATTATTCTGCCGCAGATCACCATACAGTTATCTTCCACAAAAATTCCTTTTATTAATGGAGAGATGAGAGCTATAAATTAGCAAAAATTATGATAGTTGATTTTATCATTAAAATACTTGAAAAAACAAAATCAGCTGAAGTTAAATTAATACTAGAGGTGAGTTGGATAACTCCATGATAAAATTCCCTCTCTCAAGAACGATCTAACAGAAATTTTAAAACAATATTTACAATCGGGGGCTAAAATTGCCCCTTTCATACACTGTTCCAATTTCAGAACGCTAAACTAAATGGTTTTGGAGTTATAAGAGATACAGGCAAACTTTTGATTTTATTTCTATAAATTCTACTAGTAATGGTTTCAAAAAGAAGTACAAAGCAAAAATGCAATCTTACCAACAGCACAACTTGTAACAGTTTTAAAGGTACAACTTTCAAACACAGCTTCTACTCTTAATTCTTCTTTGGTTTTTATCTGATGACCAAGACTAATTGGCATAATAATACGATCACTTATTCTCTTATTAGGTCCTATTAACATATGCGTTAGCATATTGAAATCTAAATCATTGGATTCATTATTTTGATCTTTGGATTCATTATTCATGATGAAAATCTATAGAAGCGAATGTCGCAAGGTTTATTTTAAAATAAAATTAATATTTTAGTTGGTGTTTGTTGAATAATCTATGAAGTATTTTTTTAAATGGAAATACGATGAACGTTTAGAAACACTAATTATATATATTTTTATTATAACATGATTTATTGTAAATCATATTAAAAAAAAGTTAAACCATGCTTTTCGGGTTACATAAATGTCCCTGGATATATGTAAACAAACAGCAATGACCGATGAGGGGCATTAGAGTGTTTTTAATGAAATATGCATCGTAACAGGCCGACGAAACCGTTTTCGTTCGATATGATACTCATTATCACTCAGTAATTTCCAACTTTAAAAACTGCGAATTGTCAGTGCAGTTTACGTACACCATACGAAACATGATCATTTCCGTTACGGATCTAATTAGAAATAAAATGAAAATAAAATATTAGAATATATGTTATGGATTAAAATAAAATTATTTTTGCTTCTATTTTGAAAACAATTTGAAACGATTTATATTACGCTGAGAAATATATGAAATAGTTTTATCTAGAAACATTGTGGCGCGAATGGATAGTAACTCTAACTGTCGTTACATTAACTGACAACAAAAACAAAAAGTAGACAACAAAGTAGCGTTTTAGCTATTTAAATTTGTTTCTATCGTTAATTTTTGTTTCATATTTATCTTAAACATTTTATTAAAAATCTGCCATGGCTGTAGATTTGACTACCGGATCTTATGACGAAGAAGGGATATTTAATAAACATAATGCGCCTTCTAAATCGTCGGAAAAGATAACCCCGGTGAATGACTTTTGCTCTCTTAAAAACTTTCGTGTCTTAAAAGTTTTAAAGGAATGTTCTCACAAAAAAACTTTAGTTGTAGAAGGTCGATTTGTAGGCGATGATAGGAGAGCAATCATAGCCATTGAAAAAATGCCTTTCGACTCCAGAGATTTAAGTAGAATGTTTACTTCTGAATCTCGGGTTGAACTGAAATTTAGAAATGATATTTATGCTAAGTATCATGTTTACCCTCAAAACGGATTTAATGGTGAGCTATTTTTTTCAGATTTATTCACAATAAAATATAACCACCATTGTTGCCTTTCAACTGTCGGACAAGTTATTTATGTTACGCTAACTTTTTTTTGTAATTACACTGTTATGCAAATAAAAAATTATATTATTATTAATTAATAAAGAATTATATCTGTATTATGGTGATGAGTTTTTTTTTGTTGACAAGATTTATTTAAGCCAGTTTTCTAGAACCATTTTTTGACATTATTTGTCATATTTTGACATTATTTGCTGCCGCATTAGTCTATCAATAATTGTTTTCATGAATGTTCGAAGATAAATCTAATAGAGGTAGTTAGTGCATTATTTTATTCTGTATTGTTACCTGCTCGTAACGAATTACCATCTTTTGGCAATTTCAGGAAAGTGTCTTACTTACACTAAACTAAACTATAAAAATCACTAAAGGGGACCAACTTGAAGGGTATGAAACGTAGCTACTCTAACCTGACCAAGGGGCTATTTTTCCGTATCGTGATCTGTTGCGCTAACTACAATCACCAAGGTACCAAATAGATTTTAAACTTTCAAATTTAAAAAAAAATATGTAGATGTTTGCCCGGGGGTGGCTACGAGTTATAAATCGAATTGGTCCCTTTCTGTGATGTTTTTTATAGTTTCTCGCGGGCCACTGCCTGGAAGTTGCCAAGACATGGCGATTATTCTGCCACAGATCAATCCTTTACATATTCTGCGAGTTTGAAATTCCTTTAACACATAGTGATTGCAATAGGTATGGTACATTACAGCTTTCAACACGGAAATATATCCTCCCACATTAAATTAGAAGGTTATTGGAAAAAATGTGTGAAGATTTCTGTTTAAAACGTCAAGTTTCGTCGATGATCAGTCAAAATTACTTGACATGGAGCACATCTGTAAGGTAACATTTATTGCAGATTAACTCCAGGAAAGCCATTTTTATAGTTTATGTAAAAAAAAGACAGCGCCACTTTAGCACCTTGGCACAGCTGTTGGTCAGAAGATACATTATCATAATCCTGTATGTAAATGATTTCAAATATGACTTAATAATTGTAAATCTAACCAATTTTGCTTTGATAAAAAAAAATTTCAATATGCATTTGCACAATTAAACTGATTCATGCGTCTCAAATAGGAAATAAAATTGAATAAAAGTCTTAAATTTGAGGTTACAGCCTTATTCTAAATAACATTATTTAAGCTCCAAGTACCTACTCCAAGTTTCAATGTTACTTAGAAATTTATCTCTTGATTGCATGTTGTGCATAATTGAGCCTGTTCATTTTCGATTTCATTTTTTGCATCCTTACATTTTTCTAAAATTTAATGGATTTTTTTAATGTTTTCTTTTGTATTTATTTATTTTAATTATAATTAACATTTAGGTAAATTGTGTGAACTCTAGTTATTTCGTTTAATACTTGTTTATTTAATTTTTAGTTTTTAATAACTATATTGCTATTTTGCTAATACCATTGTTTTGAAAAAGTTTGAAATAAATTTTCTATAATTATGATTAGTCTTGAGTTTGATATTGGTAGTTGATTAAGTAATTAGCATGTATATGCACTAAGGTGGCTATATCTGTTGTGGCTAAAAGTCCTACCATTGGTTGTGTGGAAGTTTAGAGAGAGGAGCACCAGCTCACATGCTGTCCCCGTCATCTGACCTAGATCAAAATTACTTGGCTGTGGTTGGGTAATTTGAACTGCTTTTGGGTAAATAAATTTTCTTTTTAGGTGAAATAAGTTCTTTTGGTTATCCTAGAGAGAAGTATGATGAAGAACATAAAAATTAAAATTAACATTCATAAGTTCAAATTTAAACCTGCTTTTTTAATTTTTTTCCTAAAATGTGGACCTGAACTAGGTTCAAAATTTTTGGATTATTTTCATATTTCGTATATTTTTTAAGAAATGAATTTGATAAAAAAAAAGTTATATTATGTAAGTTTTCCTGGTTTTACAACCCAAAGTTATCAATAATATAAATTAGTGCCCTTCTTAAACCATTAAAAGTAATTTAGTACTAGAAAATTATATAATTGGTCTTAAAAAAGGTTTAGTGGTTATCAGTACTATTATTTCTTTTGGTGCTTTAAGAATTAATTATTTAAAATTATAATATTTCTTTTATATTTTTTAGGTATTTCTATAAAAGTTATACATCCTGCTAATGAAAAAGATTTTTCCAAATATGTTGATGAACCAGTTGTTATGGTATGTGAGATGAAAATCTTGTATGACCGGATAGTTGCACCTCATTTTAAAGCTATGTTTCAGCAACAGGTAGTCAAGATTAAAACTTTTTTTGCAATGTTAAAAATTATTACTTTTGTGTATTTTTGTTTATAGTTCTGAGTTTTCTTTTTAATCAAGCACACCAAGCCTATATTTTGTTTTAAAAATTTTTTATAATACAACCTACTTATTGCCTATATTTAATGCATATTTGAATTGCAAATTTGTTTGAACTTTTGCATATATGTTTTACTTATTTTTTTAAAAAAATATGAATGAATTAATGTACAATTTTTAAGAAACTATTCAGTACTATTCCAATTTAAAAATTATAAAGACCTTTATTTTTAATATATTTTTCATCAGTATGTTTGTAAATACAGATTACACTCTAAGCATTGGTCTAGCTTTTTCTGAACTTCAAGGTGTGATATTTTCCACAGCAGAAAAAGCGGTTTTCCTGGTTATTCATTGAGAAGTAGTGAGTGGCAGTGAAATTTTAGTACAATTTTCTTAAGGGGCTCAATGATTTGAGAGTTAAGGAATTTTTACTTAAATATTTAGAACCAAATTTAGATTACACAGATCAGCTAGATAGGTTGCATAATACTCTAAAATTAAAACAGCATCTTTTTTTTTATATTTGATTTGTAGTAAAATTTAGAGCTGTTCCATTGGATTGATTTGTCCATGTATTAATTATTGAATTTATACATTTGGTTTACAGTTTTTTGTTAATTAGCATACAAAATGAGTTGTTGTATCTACCTTGTAAAGCGAGGTCTGATTCAAATAATTAAAACTTGTATGTTTGGAAAATTATCAGGATTTTTTAAAGAAAATAATCTTGAAGTATGAAAAGAAATATTTATTTCAATATTATCTATTTGTACTTGTATTTCTTTCATAAGTATGTTAATGGATGTAACAATTAAAAAATACAAAAGTCATAATTCAATATTTACACAATTCAATATTTACTGCATTTAATCATCTTCAGGTATTAGTATATAGTTAGCATAGGTGTAGCATGAGGGGGGGGACACTCTTTATTTTTAGAAAACTGTTTGTCTATTTTAAGTTTTATGCATGCATTTATGTACAAATATGCCTTCATATAAAAAATAAGTATGCATAACATAAACATGCATAAAACTTAAAATAAAAGAAGTTTTCTAAAAACAAAAAGTGTGTCCCCCTCACACCTACACCTATGATAGTTAGATATAATGCATCTCTAGGCCACTAAATAAAGTGGATATTTTATAGGTAGCACTGGTAACTAGACCTGAAAACAACCAATCGCCATGTTGCATGTCTACCAAAAAAAGTGACGACTTAAATTAAATAAACTACCAGTCAATTTTTTTTCCCATTCTTTTTTCAATTTTTTTATTGTGCAATGAAATTTCTTGCATGGTGAAGTTAAGTCAATATGTTTAACTAAATTTTGTAATTTTTTGTTTCGAATTCAATTATTGTTTCTTTAATCAACTGTTCAGCATCTGTTTAAAAAAATTGCAAAAGGTTTGGAAAGTTAAATTAAAGGCATATATATATATTATTTTTTTTTTTAAAGAATACGTGAATATATTAGAAACTTTTAGTATTTTTTATCACTTTTGTAAATGGTCTGGTTTAAAAAGTCAAAACTGGCAAGTGGCAAGCATTATAAGCATTATGTACAATTTTGTAATTAGATTAAATTTTTTATATTTATCTATTGATTGATAGCATTTAATTTTCCTGTAAAATATTATATTGGTTAGTTATTNAGTTAGCATAGGTGTAGCATGAGGGGGGGGGGGTACTCTTTATTTTTAGAAAACTGTTTGTCTATTTTAAGTTTTATACATACATTTATGTACAAATATGCATTCATATAAAAAATAAGTATGCATAACATAAACATAAGTAAAACTTAAAATAAACAAAGTTTTCTAAAAACAAAAAGTGTGCCCCCCTCACACTACACCTATAATAGTTAGATATAATGCATCTCTAAGCCACTAAATAAAGTGGATATTTGATAGGTAGCACTGGTAACTAAACCTGAAAACAACCAATCGCCATATTGCATGTCTACAAAAAAAGTGACGACTTAAATTAAAAAAATTACTGGGCACTTTTTTTCCATTCTTTTTTAATTTTTTTTATTGTGCAATGAATTTTCTTGCATGTTGAAGTTAAGTCAATATGTTTAACTAAATTTTGTCATTTTTTGTTTCTAATTCAATTATTGTTTCTTTAATCAACTATTTAGCATCTGCTTTAAAAAAGTTGCAAAATCTTTGGAAAGGGAAATTAAAGACATATTTTTTTTTAAAGAATACGTGAATATATTAAAAACTTTTGGTATTTTTTTTTCACTTTTGTAAATGGTCTGGTTTAAAAAGTCAAAAGTGGCAAGCATTATAAGCATTATGTTCGATTTTGTAATTAGATTAAATTTTTTTTATTTATCTATTGATTGATAGCATTTAATTTTCCTGTAAAATATTATATTGGTTAGTTTTTGAAAAAGAAAAAAAAATTATAATAATAAATAAAAACATTTGAATGTTTAGATGTTTGTGATATTTCCAGGCTACAATTGATGTAAATTCAAGTAATCTACTCTTTGCTGATTCAAGCGAAGATACAAAATTTGTTCTTTTGAAAGAAGAAATGAACGATTGCACTTGTGCTAATAACCATGTTCGAGGTAAAGCAATTATTCAGAAACCAGATTTGTTGTCATTGAGAGATCTTACTTCATCTGAAATTCCATTACTCAAAAAAGTCAAGAAAGCATGTTTGGTAAATACTTTTTTGTTAATATTGAAATATTATTTGTATCATTTATTGCTTGATAATTAAAGATCTTAAAATTATTTTCGAACTTTAATGTTAAAGTTAACTTCGATGGTGTATAACTTACCAAGACTGGGATAGCCTGGTTGGTAGAATGTTGTGCTCGTCTACATGAGATCGTCAGTTCGAATAGTGCCGGCCGAAAAATTCCAGTGTATGAAATGGTACATGTAAAATCTGCCAGGGTCACAAAGTCCTCCAAGTTCGTCTGACAAATGAATACCTCAGGTGGTATTGAATTAGAGACTGACCATTCTCTGATTCAGGTCAAAATTATCATCTGTGAATGTATGAATGGGTAAAATGGGCTGTGAAGTCTGTGGCCATAGATTGAAAAATACTAAAAAAGAAGAAACACACCCTTTGCCTTAAGATATTTGCTAGGATTCCCATTGCAGGCTTGCTGATATTGGCAAGTGGCATTAGTGACAACAACATAACTTACTGAATATGTAACAAAAAAAAAAAANAAAAAAAAAAAAAAAAAATGAGGATATAGTAACTCAATTTTTATCAAATATTTACATATCCTAAGAATGATTTGCATTTTTATGTTTGGTAAGTATCTATGCAATGCAAAGTTCTATGTAGTAATGTATTAATTATAGTCTAAATATGAATTTAAAAAATTTATTTTGAAAAAAATATTTTACTCTTACATTTATCCTAAGAATGATTTGTGTTGGTACTAGAAGGTGGAATCCTAAGACTGGTTTGTGTGCTATGGCAAATACTTGTGAAATTATTCTAAAGTGTGATACTAGTACCTATGAAAGTTTGATTTGCATTGGCAGCAATAGCCAATTGATAAATAATCTACTTTGTTATTGCTTTCAATCTATGTTGTAAAAGAAAGAAAAGTCAAAACTTATTAAGATCTCTTTTTGAGCATTGTACATTCTCATTAAACATATGTTTTTCATTCAGTATTCCTAAATGTGAACAGTTTTGATTTGAAAAAAATTGAAAACTTGGAGCTGTAGTAATTTTTACTAATATCCAATTGTAATCAATTTCTTCAATAATAGTATGTTTCTATCTTAGTGCATGTCTCATTCATCCTCAGATCGTAATTTTGATCTGAACCAGACATCGATCAATCTCCAGTTCAGTTCTCCCATAGGTATGATTTGTTATGATAACATGGAGGACTTTGTGATCCAATGAATTTAACAGGCACCAATCACCATTCATTGCACAGGGAGTCTTTGGCCAGTGGGGCTCGAACTCACAACCTCTTGGACATTGGCCCAACGCCCTACTAGCCAGGCTATCTCTGCTCCTAATAAATTAATCCCTAGCAACAATTTTACCTTTACCCCAGTTGGGTTCAAAATTGACTCAATTTGAGTTCTATAAGAACATACACTGAGGGACCAATATTGGGATGTTTAGATATTTTAATATTATTCCTAGAATGGCTTATATAGGGCCTACATTTGCCAATATAGAACTTACATTGGCTAAATAATGGATATAAAATATCAGGTGAATTGGATAATTCTATATAGGGCCAATATTGGAAGAATAAAGGCCTTTTGAACCCATACTGAGCCAATATTCATGAATATTGGCCCACTGTGGGCCCACATTATTTTGCTGCTAGGGATAAAATTTAAATAAAAAAAATATGGCATACCGAACAAACACACTGCTGCAAATAGAGTATTGAATTACAAATAGTGCACTAATTTTTATAATCAAATACTGCTAAATATGAATATTCAATTCGCCTCAGATAATATGACATATAGACATTACAATTCTGCATAAAACAAGAGCAAAAAAAGTATGAAAATAGTTATTTTTTTGCATAAAACTTTCTTGTTCTATATTAAATTTGGCTTTTTTATAATCAAACCATTTCTGCACTTATTGCTAAACAATTATATTGATCAGTTTTAGTTTTTTTTTAAAAATTTTTTGTCTAGATTCTGTAAGTAATGATTGATGATGAAAACGATGAATGAATGATGAAATTAGATTTCTTCAGGAAACCCGGTTTACAAAATTATTTTTTATACTTGTTTCTTCTGAGCACTTATTTGTATTTAAGATAGAATAATTTTTCATTTATTCTTATGTTATAATTTTAACAGGAGAAGATGAGCAAAGAGTACAAGATTCCAACATCCCAGTTAGAGTGCTATGTCCATTATCCACCACAAACATTCCCATTTCAAATAATATTTGAATCCGTGGAAAGACATGAAAAGATTCCAGTTGGAAAAGTTCATGATCTAGACTACATTATTTCTAGTCTTCAACTTAAACCAGATTACTATCAAACAGTTACTTTATCTTATTTCATATCTGAGAAAGATCCCCTGGCAAGAAAGATTAAGGAACTAAATCTCTCCACGTCCAACAACAAATAGTTTTTTCTTGTCTTCACTGCATCGATTTCATTACATTGTATAGAAAATTCACTTCTCCCCCTTCATTGTCTTTTAACGATACATATAAGATCATTGTATGAGAGTGTGTGCTGCGAAAATGTTTTGTTACATCATGATATATTTAAATACTGACACAAGATAAAATCTTGCTGTAATTGTTTGAAGAGCTGAAAATAAAAACATTTTTGATCATTTGTCTATGGGCTTTCCATGAAGAAATGATGTTATACCTCTTTTTCAAAAAATGTTCTATTTAGCATAAATTAGGGATGTAACGAATATATCACTATTTAGCCCTTTTGCCGAATGTTTTGCCAAATATTTTTTTTCCAAACTTTTTTTTGGTATTTTATTAAATTTAATAAAGAATTATCAAAAATCATATTTTTTTACTATACATTATTAGAAATAGTTTTTACACACATTTATTAAGTTCTAAAACTTGCAAATTTATGTTCTGGAAGACAAATCCTAAAGCGAAATTTGCAGAATTGAAGCTATTTTACTTTATACTAAACCACAAGTTTTGTACTGCTGTTTTTTTTTTTAAAGTTATGTTTAGATAAGTCAATTACATTGTTTTTTCAAAAAATTTTGTTTTAAGAATTTGGAGTGTTTTTTTCTCTTTCCCATTTTGTTTTTCTGATTTTATTCTAGCGCAGCATTTTAGCGACGAATTTTCGATATACGCATGATCATGCGTAATACTTTTTGGAGTCGGAAGGTATGAAATTGCCACAGGAAATGATAAATTACCTTATTTCGAGTATGAAATCCGGTTGCAAGGCCTATATATTTGTAAGAGGGGACCATACCCCCTATTAAACCATTTTTTTGTTGTTTATTCTGTTTCATACCTCCAGACTCCAACGAGAGTTGCGCATAATCATGCGTGTGTTTTACAATTGTTGAATGGTTATTTGTTTTATATTGTATCAATGTATATACAGATCAAACTTTATTAAAATCGGTCCAATAGTTCCAGAGATAATCAACCAAGTCTTCAAATTCTCTTAATTTCTTTCATATCATTTGCAAGATTTATGTTGAAATTTATATTTTTGTCATAAGGATTTAAAAAATAAACCTGCAAAAAAATTTGTGCACTTACCATCTCGACATGTTAAATTTTCCTTGCATTCAACATGTGACACTTACGGGGAGAAAAAGCGCTTGAACATAAGTAGTAAGTGCCAGTAATCACTGTTATATTTTTTATTTTATTTATTAATTTAACAAATAACAGGGATGAGGTTCTTCCGCGGATTTCCGCTTTTCTCAGATTTTTCCATTTTTCCCGCTAATTTCCGCCGAAATTTTTTTTTGCACAAGTTAAAATATTTTATGAGGAATTTAATTTTCCGCGGAGCGAAATTATTGAAGTCCTCATTCCTCCCTCTGAAGTTTCTCTAAAAATCATTTCCTTGGGATAAAACTGGTTGACCTTTATACAGGGATGAGATTTTTTTCGCTTTTGTCTCTCGAATTTCAGCCTTTTTATCAAAAACTCAGATTCTCTAAAAGTTTCGTTTTTTTTAAAATTTATTTATTTATAAATATTCCGTGTTTTTTTTAAAAAAAATTCAGTCGTTGAAGTCAAATTATTATATTTATTTACGATTTTCAAAGAAAAACAGAAAATTCAAACTACGTCCTAGCTGCTAATCCTTCCGCATGTTTACTTATATTAGCTATTTTCTCCGATTTCACGCACAGAAAATAAGATTTTCCGTATTTTTTATCCGTCGGCGGGATAGCTCGTATTTTCGTAATTTAGACGTCGCTGCTTCTTGTATTCTGGAGAGAAAGCAAACAAAAAAAGCGAAAAAAAATAGAGGTGGATTTGTGGTGAAAATATTTATTTGCTCATTCAATTAATCTTGTAAATTTTTATTTATTGTGTAAACAAAAAACAATTCAAACAAGCCTTTTAGAAATCCCAAGTCCAGACTCTGCAAATATCTCGATTTTTATTCACGCGATTTTAATATCAATCATCGATTTTCGTATTTACCTGATTTAAAAGTTGCGCATTGCAATTCTTATTTACGCTTTTTAAATATCGTACATTATGACTCGTATTTACGAGATTTAAAAATCTAATATCGTGTTTTGTATTTTTGCATTTTTAAAATCGCGATTTTATTATCAAACATCGATTTTCGTATTTACCTGATTTAAAAGTTGAACGTTGCGATTCTTATTCAGGCCATTTAAATATTGTACATTGCGATTCTTATTTACGAGATTTAAAAAACCAATATCGCGATTTGTATTTACGAGCTTTTAAAACCCTATGTAGCTACCCGAGCTTAAAATCCAATGTCGTGATTCGTTTTTGCGGTTGTAATATCGCGCGATTTTAAAATTATGCATCTTGATCTAAAAATTACGCATCATGATTTGTATTTTCGCATTTTTTAAATTCGATGTAGAGTTTTATATGCACGTGATTTAAAAGCCTCATATCGGGATTTATAATCACATGGATTACAAGTTTAAACAAAAATTAGACAAAAAAAGTGCGATTTTATATATATATATTGAATTTCCTCTTCTTGGATTTCCTCTTTTTTACTTTCTGACTACTCTCATCCCTGCAAATAAACATAAAAGAAATAGAATAATATATTGTCCTAAATGCTAACCTTTATTATAACCTATGAATATATGTTACTGTGCATGAATGACCGAAATTGGTGTAGGTTGACTTACACCAGTGAATGTTGACAATCACATAGTCACTTTGGTGAAGGTCCGAAATATATACTAGGTTTAGTTAAGTGCCACTGCCCGGTATACATTCTCCTGGTATGCCCTACATCACTGTTTTTTTAAGGTTCAGTGTAACTGTCCAGTATACTTTTGCCCGGTATACCCTACATCAATGTTTTTTTAAGGTCAAGTGCCCAGTATGCATTTATTGTGACTGTTGACATTCACCGGTTAAAGTCGACATTCTCTTGCTTTCGATCATCCACGGTAACATATGCACAGAAAACAAATTTATAGCTAGACTAGATATAGTACGAGGACTGCAAATTTAACTGTCGGATATAAAACTTAATTTAGGATTATTAATGATAAATCTCTTCATTCCTCCAATGAAACATTTTGAAAGTAGTCTTTTATGGATTATAACGTCTATAATCACCTTAATAAATTTTATTTATAAGTCAGGGTTCCACCAAAAGAAGGTTGATTATTCAGGGTTCCGAAGCCGAAAGAAAATGGGAACCGCTGCTTTTGATATTCTATAAAAGTTAAGTATAGAATTGCTGAAGGTCGATTCAAGATAGATTCTGACACGATTCTCTATGTAAGGATGCTCTGCAAACATGCGTGAACTTCATTGTTTCTCATTTATAATTTAGGAAAAAAGGGTAGTTTTCATAAAAATAAAGAGTCGAAAAAGTTCCGTACGATTCGGGAGTGTGATGCGCAGGCCGAACGATTGTTACCACAAAAGTGACTAGCATCCTTAGAAAACTGAAAAACTGGTAGCAAAGTTTCTGAAAGAACATTCTGAAACTCGATTGTTTATTTTTCGAATTATTTTAAAAAAAAATTGTTTGTGCTAGAGAATCTCTGAAAGGACAGTTCTCTGAATATTGCATTGGAAAGGTAAAGAAGTGAGTTTTCAAAAAAACATTTAGAAATTTTACCACTAGTTTTTTCGTTTCTTGCGGGCGCTGGTCATCTAGTTACCATCATCTGTCTCCCGATATAAATTGTTGTAGTGTAGTACGCGCATGTACCAGTATTATTTTCAGTTATGGTCTTCATATCGGTTTTGTCTTTCGTCAGTATTAAAGATGAATCCCAAAACGTCTTCAATAGGTCATTAGTGTACTTCCAGTGCTACCGTAACAAACTATGAAAATAAATCTGTTTTTTTTTCGATCCTCCTAAAAAATCTTTTGTGCCAGTGAATAGATTCTCTACAAGAATGAGCGTTTGCCTTACCATGAGGTGAACCAGGGTTCGATCCCGGTGATGGCTGGTCGATACGAATTCCGCATTCGGCTTACACCGACCACGGTGCTGATGTGAAATATCCTCAATGGTAAATGGATCATGTGTTAGGATCCCCTTGCCGTCAAGCTAACCGTGGGAGGTTTTCGTAATCTTCCTCTCCATGTAACGCAAATGCGGGTTAGTTCCATAAAAAAGTCCTCCACGAAAGCAAATTTCTCCCAATACTTGATCCAAGCGTTCCCTTGTCTTCTGGATTGGGTTCAAAATTACAAGGCTACGGAGTTGATCATTAGTAGTGGTAAACACAAGGAATCGGGTCGGCTGTTTAACGACGGTTATAAAATAAAATATAAAAAGAATGAGCGTTGTGGGATAGAGCATTCGCCTCCCAATCAGGTAATCCAGTTTCAAATCCCAGCGGTGGATAGTCGGTACGAATTCTGCTCTCAGCTCGCACTGACCACAGTGCGGACATAAAATATCTCAGTGGTAGGTGGATCATGGGTTAGAATCCTCTTGCCATCGGGCTAACCATGGGAGGTTTTCGTGGTTTTCTTCTCCATGTAACACAAATGTGGGTTAGTTCCACCCAAAAACGTCCACCTCGAAGATTGGTTTGTTTTAATGCTTGATCCAGGAGTTACCTTATCTTCTGGTAGGAATTCAAAATTGCAGGGCTGCGTAGTTGAAGATTGATAGTCGTAAACTCAGGATTGGACAGTCTTAAACTCAGGATTGGAATTGCAAGGCTACGTAGTTGAAGATTGAAATCAGGAGGACAACGCCGATTATAAAATAAAATAAAACAAGAATGTGGATAGTTTATTGGGTTGCCCGGTATTAAATGTTGCTCGGCACAGTTCGCTTGATATGTTAAGGTGTATTTAATTAAATAGTAAAAAAGATAAACAGTAGTTTTATGTAATGACCTAACAACTTTTCATAATATACTTTCAATGATAAAGTACTTACTTATAATATCATTTCAAGACATTAAGGCTCTTACCTAAATATGTCACTTAATCTCAATACATTTTCATTTTAACTAATTTAAAGACATTCATTACTAATTTAAAGACAAACGCGATATTCTAAACCCGGATATGATCTGTTTTTAACACAACACCTCGTGACTTTTCCTCCCTTTTTTCAAATTCGTCTTCGGTTGTCTACGAAAAAAAATTCTTTCTTTTGTTGTTCTCGCTGTTTTTCTTGG